CATTTAAATCTCTTTACATTTTACATGCAACAATTATCTACGGATACATCAATCAATTCAAAAATCAGAGATAATAATATTAGTAAATTGCAAAATATAAAACAAAAACTGTCTTCCAGAGCTCTCTTTACAGCTATTTCTAATTCTCCCTTTTTCTATTTGAATTAATAAATTTAAAAGTCAAAAATTGTAAAATTACATTTAAATATATAAATAATATCGTTGTGTACCTATCAATAAATCTTTATGTTCTACATAATAGCTAATAAAAATACGTTTAATATATAGAAACTACATATTATTCGTCTTTAAAAATGTGTCCTTTTATGGAATACATGATTGGCCATTTCGCTAAAAGATAATAAACTGTACCGTTAGTCGACCCTTTATTTACGAAATTTAAAGTTGTAAGAGTAATTTTCATAATCAAATTATACATTTAAAAACACATATAGTTTTATATTTCTTAACAACTTTAAAAAACAATTAACACACGAATATCATTTTATACTGGTAGTTAAAAGATAATAAATTAAACCTACATTACATATACGGCGATAATTAAATAAAGGAAAAAAAAATTAACGACGCAGGTATATGTATTTATGGAAAGGAATTAGAATTATTACAAAATATTTGACGTAACGAGAGAACGGACGAGTTTTATCACACCGTTCACCGTCGAAAAAAAAGTAAAAATGACATCAAGAAAGCATTACGTAACAATAAGAAATGATTTTTATAAAATGCTTCCAGTTCCTATAAACAATAAACTGACAAAACTTGTTATTTAACTGATTAATAAAATAAATTTACTATCCAAGTTCAACGTTATTATGACATACCGTAATAATTTTTTTTAATACGCACAGCTAAAGTCATGGTTTTATATACGCTATTAACAAAAACCCAATACATACAATTAATTAACAAAACAAAGGTAGATACAACACGGTGACGCATCTTACAAGAGAACGCAAATTATTTATTTATCCTTAGTTATAGCGAAAAAATATACCATTAGGTATTGAGGTAATCACATTGTTACTGATAAAAAAATTATTTCGCTGTTGCAATGCTTTAGCAAATGTTTTATAATATTATTAATAATACATATAAAATATATATAGTTATCGGATGAATTTACATTATTGTACATCAAGGAAGTAATGACGTCTTGATATTGTTATATATTACTAAATATAGTGTAGAAAATATTGATTAATAAACATGAATACAAGCTTCGTAAATCGACTACAACAAAAAAAAAAAATTTTTTAACAAAACTTTTCGAAAGTACCTACGTTCACGGACATAATAAAAAAAAACATAAAAAAATACCAACCCCTGTATTCTTGTCAGCCATGGCGTCTTATTATTTGTGCCGATTTATTAAAATCATAAGATTTCTTCGCCGATATCAAAACATCATTTGAAAAAATCGTCTGCGCAAACGCGAGCGCGCGAACTCTCGCCGCTAAGACAACTGAATCCACACTGACTTTGAGTTCTCGCACGCGACAAGTGACCATAATTATTAACGTGTGTGCCGATTCACTGTGATGTTGTTTAATAAGAATGATTGACATGTAATGGGATTATTTACGTTACATACTTTAGATGATATCAACCTGAAAGCGTAGAGATTTTTCAATTCATTCTTTAACTTTATCCGGAGTCTTCAGAGCGGTTATCCTTAGTAGGAGATTGCGTTAACCACCTAAATACCTTACGTTTCAAGGTTTTTCATATAATTACCTTAGCGGTATACGATATTGACCCCGAATTTTTTCATTGAAAGACCTTCAAAATGAGAGTTTATGTTGAATAGTAAATTTATACCAAGAATAAGATAATTGTACCCCGTCATACGTAGGATAGAAACTAGATCAAAAATCACAATTAGATGCATCTATTACATGTCACAAAATTCATATAGATACTTGTCTTTATATTATTTTATCGATATATTAAAATAACAATTTAATATTTTCTATAAAAGACAATATAAAACAAATCATTGTGTCATTCATGTCATTTAAATGAAATCAAAATTAAAATTTACATATAAAAAAAATCTAATTTTCTTATTTTATTCTGCCTGTCACATTAAATTATACGTGAAACAATTAAGCATTACTCGCGTACTAGCCTTCAACTACTTTCTAATTATTTGTAACAATACATATCAATATTTTTTTATATTACAAGCAATAAATTATACTATTTTTAATAATGACAATAGAGAATCGTCTGTGATACATTTATAGCGATAAATATTAGTGCTGATGATTTCATTTTTGATATAATGATTTTCTTAACCTGTGTAGATATAAGTAGTTATATTTTTCGTTACGTTTATATATCGCTTTCAAAGGGGATACCCCCTTAAATAGCAAATAGGCTTGTTATTCAATTAGTATTGAAAACTGCCAATGAATGATAAGGTGTAGTCGTTGGCAACGAGATTTAAGATTATTTTAAAGATATCATTCCTTCTAGAGTGTTTATTATATACAAAAAGTAGATATTTTGATACAGTATGAATAAGTATATAATTGTTGTGTCTACTATGGTTAATTTCCTTTAATTAACCACCAAATGTTTTTTCGAGAACATTTATGACTTTAAAAATGTCACATAAACGAGTACAATGTCATATAGCTCCTAAGTTTTCATCCAATTATATTTGTGTTGTTTTAGATCTACTAACAAAGTTCCCAATTGTGACTTCGGCCGGGGCTGTTAAAGTTTATTTCACTTAAAAGTTAATCCCGGATCGTGTCTCTTCCAATCTACTCGACATTGGCAGAATATACTGTGCACTTTTCTGCACGGATGAAGGCCATATTATAAAATAATAATAATAATAAGTACAATGTCAAAAGTCTATCAACTATCATGGATTAAAATATATATATTAAAAAAGAACAATAACCGACACAGCTGTTAATAATCTTGTCATATTTTAAATAAAGATCTATACAGTATAGCCATCTATTGGCGAATGTATGAACTAGATTTACCAAGTTTAGCCGACAACTTGAAAATGGTACAAAATAGAGGTACTACTCTTAAAATCATGTGCGATAACTCATTAGATCCAGAATGAGGCCCATAAAAATGTATGAAAAGCGTGTACTAGCACATAAAAAAATGCAAAAGTTATAAATAATTAGAGATAAAAATAGAATGAATTTCGTTTATGGCCAAAATATCATAAACGATTGATATTTTAATATAGATTCTGGAAGGGAATGAAATTTCCAATATAAAGTTGTATTTACACCATTATTTATCATTTTATTTTAATACTCAAAATAGGTCTACGCGCGACAATATTAGGTTGAGCACACTGCTTCACAAGCGAGAACGGCACATTCATTTAATTTATTTGAGATATTGAATATTTCTTTTTTACTTAAAAAAAATTGTGTTTTGAACACTATACCTAATTTATTCCCCTTGGCAATTTTACTTGATATATATTTTTATTGATAATTATTTTATTTGGAAATTTTACTTGATATATATTTACAAAATTATAAGTATCTGTTTAAATTTTAAACGTAGGAAAAAAAACCATTATATTACTATGTAAAGACTTTAATATCACCACAACATACAATGTCAGCCCGTCACAATAATTAGATTATAATAGAAATAATTATAATAATATGCAATCGATTGTAAACAAAACTTACATTAAAAATTATATTAGAGAAAAAAAAACTTTTAAATTAAATTTCCATATATAATTGCTTAGTAGGAATTTCAATTATGGGACAATTACAATATAATTTATATATAACGAATTCACAAACAAATTTAGATAATGTCACAATATTAAAAGTATCATTAAAATTTTAAACAATAAAAAAACTCATAACATACACAATTCCAATATTCACAGTATAAAAAAAACTTTCAGACGATTCTCAAAATTTTCAAAACATTGGCAACGCATCGGATTAATTCTAATTTTATTTCTTCTTTTTATAAATTATTTACATTGTAAATTACAGAATTATATACAGATTGTGCGATAAAATCGTTACAAAGGAGACGATGAAATAACAAAATAACAAATAAACACAAAAAAAAAATCACAAAAATCTGACCGCTAAATAAAAATCAGACTTGTTACAACGCTCGTCGTATATTTTATACGAACATTGATAGTACACAGTCTTATATGAATTGACCCACGCACAATAAATAGACGACTTATATATGTACTTATATACTTGAATATATATAATTAATATTATATATGTGACGCGCCTACAGCAGTATATAGCTATAGCCTATGTATTTCATGGATGACATGACGTGTGGAATGTTATATAATTGGATTTTATCGTGACGGAAAAATGTCTACATTAAACAAAAAAAAATATCACTATGATAGTAAATTTCTTATTGCATTATTTAATATTTAAATTTTCTTTAAGTTCAATATCCTTCTTTCCTGTAATAATCCTCATGTTACCACGTTATGGGTAAATTTTAATTTTAAACTTTTAATTTAATTTAAACGATTTTTTTTTAAATAATTTATTAGCGAATATAAGAAATGACACAGACGTTTACGACTACGGTTGATTCGAATTATACGTATTGATTTTTTTTGTGCTGTTATTTATAATGTTTGACCCTAACCGGTGCTTTTAAGACATATCACATTTAATAGATTTCTTATCATATATTTTATTATTTAATTTGTTAAATATAATACGGTGCGGTGAATACTGATAGTGAATGCGATTCATAATTATTGTAATACGATAAATTTGAAAAAAAAAACATTACATCTTTTAATATAAAGACGGTTACTCACGATGTAAATCAATCAACATAGATCAGGGATTCCCAAACTGGGAAAAATGATAATATATTAATTTGTAACATTAGATATGGGTTTCCCTATAAGAGGTATTTGGTTGTCAGTTTATTTTTGAGTTTGGGAATCCCTGTCATGAGCTATACTAATGTGATGTTTACATGAATGGAAAGTGTGTGTTGGCGTTGTGGTGTAAGGCCGCGGCTAGGGCTGCGTAAAGCGCGTGAGAAACGCCGGGTGCTGGCAGTAGTGTTAATACTCGGGATTCGTTCGAGTTGTAACCCTCAGCGCCAGTGTAACGCGCCACTCGAGCCATTGCCGCTGCGCTTATCTGTGAATTATCGATAATTGAATTATTTGTTTCAAATATGTATATGTATATATCGGATTTATTACAAAATTTCGTTGTTTTTAAAGAGAGAGTTGATGTCACTAATGTCACTTCTTCCAGAACGTTCCATGATTTCGTTTTACTTTTAACAATAGTCATGAATACTAATAAGTTTTTATAATAATTGATGACAGGCTCAAGTTATTTTCATGTCAGATCCGTTATTAATGCTGTTAGCGCCGATATATATACTAAATATGTGTATGTATGTACATATATATAATGTTAAGTAGATTAATTAAGTATATTTCACAAGTTTTTAATGCAGTCAAATTACTATAGTATCTAGAAGTAAGGTAAATATGTTTTAAAATAAATATTTTTAAGCAGTAAAATTAATTTTGAAATACTACTAACGTGATATTCATTGTCTTCGTCCACCACAGCACGAGATTCCGATATTCTTGGAGCGCGTTTCTGTGATACGTGGATCTGCAACAACATACATACATTATACATTGATCTGTATATATATTCATTTAAAATCTTTGAATATAAAAAAGTAACGATTTCTTAAAAATATTTCATATAATCAATTTCGCTTATATTCAGAAAGAGAAGTATATATCGAAAAATTTATAAATAAGAGAAAAAAGATTCAAATTTATTAATCGTATAATAAAATATTATATACACGAGCAGGTTTTGAACCTGCAACCGTCATAATATGGAGTTAAAAGATGATATAAATTATGAGAATCTTGACTAATTGAAGTTTTTAAGATGTAAATATACTGGAGTATAATATATAAGTACATATGTAAAATACAAGCAATATATCGTGAATCTATATTCTATAGTATACTGTATACTGACCTCTATAATTTGCCCTTCATAAGGTCCAAGCGTGCAGGTCTTAAAGTCGATCATCTCAACGATGCGTTCAGTCTCAGGGTCGGCGATCACAAGGAACTAAAAACAAAGATAAATCCAATATAAATTATATATGTATAATATATTGTTTAGACGAGAAAAAAAAAAGCAAAACAGAATTTTGATACTTTTCAGAGGTTAAAAACATTCTAGAGGTGTAAATTAGAGGGTAGGAGTCGATCGTTATAAAAATAATATAATCGTAATCTCTAATCAAGTCTTAAATACTTTTGTAATAATTTAATGTGCTGTATTTATACTTTAGAATTTAGATGAAAGCAGTAATCAAATTTTAATTTTATGTTAATCTATATGAGGGTAGTCTCAAATTACCTGATATGTATTAATGTATGGAATTTTCAGGGTAATTTAAATGATTGTATTATAATTTTAATTTATTTGTTTGCACCTTGTGTGTAAGTAATAAATGTAGCGCCGCTTGGTCGAGTAGCGCGTCGTAACCGGCCAGCGCGTTCAGTTCAGCCAGGCGAAAAGACCAACGAACGCAGTCTCTACGCCAACCACTCACAGATGAACCAGACGATATACTCGGACGAGGCTATAATATATAACATATAGTAGAAATTACATAATATATAAAATTTTCTATATATTCGCAAGAACAATACAAACATAGAATTTTGTATTTATTAATAGGTACAACAACCTGTGGTATAGTGTCCCAGCCAGTTTGCGTTAAAAGTCCGTGACCGGCGTAGGCCACAAGGTCAGCTGTAGCGCTTAATGGTTTAGTTATCGCGCCAAGAATCCCTCTACGTAATGCTGCAGCCCCACTACCACTTTCGCCAACAGCCACGCCCACTAGCGGATGATGAGCCAAACCTCCAACAGCACCTTATATATGTATATCGTTAATAATAATATTCAGTCATAAAAAAAGCTCTAAGATTTTCGGGAGTACTCATTGAAATGAAACTAATATTTTCGGATTTTATTTCAATAAAAACGCTATAATAAATAAAAACGCTACAATAAATAAAAACGCGAAGTAAAATCAGAAAATATTAGTTTCATTTACATAAAAAAAGGTGGCATTAAAAATATACTTACCTAAAATATTAATTGCGAAATTTGTGATTCCTGCGACTAGACCAGCCATGAGACTCTGAGGGGGTCGCCTCCTAGAAGAAAATTCATATAAATTATAATTACATTAACATATATATAAACTAGCTTTCCGCCCGCAGCTTCGCCCGCGAGGGGGTCGATTATATCGCGTTTCCAAGAGAACCTATCAAAAGTCTGGGATAAAAACTATCCTATGTTCTTCAAGCTCAACTCTACCTCTGTACCAAATTTCATTAAAATCAGTTCAGTGGTTTAGGCGTGAAAGCGTAACAGACAGACAGTCAGAGTTACTTTCGCATTTATAATATTAGTAGGGATGTGTTAGAACTAACCTGGCTGCTGCTGCTCGTCTTGCGTGTTCGTGGTCGCCTGCAAGTAGGTCAAGGTTCCTTGCCAACGAGCCGGCAGCGGCACTTAATGATCGTAGTAGTGCCGCTGCCGCTGCTGAAGCCACGCCCCTCACCCCGCCCCCCGCGCTGCCGACACGAGCAGCCAAAGCCCCCGGAGCACCCAACAGTTCAAGACCACCAACCACCCAGCCTGGAAATACTTGTACTTACATATTTGTTTTTTTGAACGATCAAAACTAAAACCACCTGTCTTATTTGTAATTTTAAAGTCTTAGTAGAAAAACCATAGTCACGATGGTAACAGACGCTTTTAAAAAACTGATTTTAATTCGAAGTACTAATGAATAATTCAAAAAAAAGCATTATCGATCAGTTTCACAAGATGGCTATTTATCAGGAATTTTTGTTTGTACTGGACAGGAAATTTGCTGGTCAACTATAGTTAAATAAACTTATGGGACAAATAAATACAACGTAGTTATTGATTGAATATTAAAAGTTTTAAATAATTATTTAAGTTCTTTGGAAAGTCTTTCTCTAGACATACCTGCTCCAAGTATAGCAGCTGATAGGTAATGTACTGTGAATGCGTGTGTAAGTCTCTCTGGTGACGTCATCACATCTTGTAACATGAACGCGCTCAGTCGCAGGGGACTCTCGTCCAAAGCTATGTACATGCGAACCTGTTGAATCATGATTACATATGAATATATCTTCGACTATGTACAGTTATTATTAAAATTTATATGTTACCATAGAAAACTTAACAAAAAAGTCGCATTACTTGCTTAGGCTTGTATATTTCGTAAAAAAATAAGTTAAAATTAAAAGAGTATTATGAATAAAACTGTATGCTTTTAAGTCACAAGAAATGATCTGCTACTAATTAGCCAATATTTTCCTTATATAGAACATTTCTACTTACAGCAGTATGCAATGTGAGGGTTAGGTTTAGAGGATGGACATGTAATTTTCTCAGTCGCACGGGGTTTTGTAGAGTTCTGCATTCAGCCAGCACTAGAGACTCCGATGTATGCGATTTCATCGGAACAGCTAAGTGATAGAGTTCGATAGCTGCGCCCAAGTACGCGTCTTCTATGTAGAGACCGAGAGGACCAAGACGGAGCTCTACTTCCATTAACTCTGAGAAATGTTCATATATAGTTAGAACTTGGAACTCCAAGAATATAGCAAACAGATAGTATAGACCTAACGATGAATGCTAAAGTATAAATTTAGATATTTCAATTTTCAAGTGTAATATGTATGTTATAGGACGATAAGTGACAAAAATTATCATTCCACCTAATTAAAGATTCACAGCAGTGTTATTTTTGAAATGAAACTTCTTATACGACTTCCAAAAAGTTGCGTTAAAGTAAAGTTTGACTTAAAGAAACACTAAAACTTCCTTAAAAATCTATATAACGAAGTTTCACTTCCGCGCGAAGTTACTCCACGCACAATTAATTTTATTTTCTTACAATTATGGCCATTTTTTTGGCTCCCAATATAACTCACCATTAAAACTCGTTCCGGCGACTGTCCATTTATCATTACACGTCTGTAACAGCAATTTGGCCTCGGCTCGTCTTGTTGCAAACAGTTCGTTCGTCATACCCCATAGCGGTGGCCATCTTTCTGGTTCGTGACCCTCTGAACGAGTTGTTGCCACCACCGCGAAATCGTACTGCTCCGTCTCATATTGCGCGTTGTCAATTTGCACGTCAGATACCGATATTGTAGTACGAATTTTCTAGATGATAGAAATTATCTTATGGCTTATGTTTTCAGAATACAAAATGGATTTTATTAAATCTGATATATGTTTATTATATTATTTGTAAGTCAAAGTATTGTAAAGTTCTTGCTATTGAAGGATTATTTTATTAAATGGTGTTATTCAAAACACCTAGCGAATACTTTAATTTTTTATAATATAATTCGATTTTTGGATTATCAGTCATTTTCACTTTCAAATGTACAATTGTTTTGAGACTCATTCTTGCGTATTTTATTCTCATTAAGACTTATTATTCATGAAACCAGAATTGTTGTTCTTATATTATAATGACAACTAGTGTTTTAGTAGAATCAGTATATAAATTATATATGAAAAATATATAATACCCTAGAATCTGCATTAACAATTATTGCCGCACGTTGTAAATGCAGCGCGAGTAACGGCAATACATCTGGGGCTCCGCTGAATGTTACAGCTATACTTCCTATCACACAACGAACACGTTCCACCTCCGACCATGTAGCGCTACTGCTGTTTAAATCTGAAGATAATGTTAATATTAAAAAAACCATATTAATAGTTAATCTAAATCACGCCTTGAAAGGTATGTACATAATTTTATACTTAATATGGTCTAACATGTAAAAAGTATGCCCAGCATTTACAAAATAGCATATTTTCTTAACTAATCATATTTCAATATGTATGTACTAATCGGAAATCTATTTGAAGTGTTTCCAAAAATATATATATATATATTGAATTATTAGGAAATACCTTTTTCGTAGACTTCTTCTAGTAGAATAGATGTTTCAGATAGTTCGTTGGAATCATTGCGAGCGACTGTCACCGCACTCGGTACATCACTGGTGTTAGCTTCTGATGAAATTGAAAATATATAAAATTAATTTGTTATCATCAATCTTTATGATTTGTTTTCTAGTATTAAGATTCGTGATTAATTAATGAGAGCCTTTAGTTTACGCTAAGAGGAATAGTAACAATAATAATAATTACTTATAATACTTGATTTTGAATTAGGCAAATAAGGATTATGATAGCAAATAGAAAATTGACTCAGTCACAGCTTATTTCTCAATTTTATTTAAAAAAAAAACTCGAAGAAAAATATTGATTATCATGAATGTTTCTTATGTGAATATTTTACCGGGAATGCTGACGCGGCGTGTGTCCACAGTCATAACTGTTTGATCCGTGTCTTTTTTATCATCCTTCTTTTGATCATTCTTATCATCATTTTCATTAGATTTATCTTGAGGCGGAGTTTCCTGGAAACAAATAATCGGAATATATTAAAAAAAAGTTTTTCCCTTAAATGATCTTGGCTGATAAAAATTAAAAAGAAAAAAAGATATTAATATCTGTATATTAATATCTGTATATAGTGAAATCGATGATGATCCATAAAATTATATTAGAAAAATGTATTCAAAAGTTTTTTATTTTTGGAAAATAACCGAATATCGTGCTGAGTATGGTGCAATAAAATATATAGTATTAGAATTTAATTTATTTTCAAATAGAACATTTCCACAAGAATAAAATAAACGAACCATAATATTAAAAAAAAATAGAAATAGTTACTAACTAACTTTCAAAAGGCAGTGTTATTATTTACATGCTATTTAATTTAGATTTTACAATAATTAAAGTGGTATTATAACTGACAAAAAAAATTAAATTAATTTCATTCATTCAATATTCTTTCTATATATAATGTAAGTTATTCTGACCTCGGTCACAATCTGTGATGCTGACAACAAGTCTGTCTGTCTATCAGCTGACAACAGCGTCACTTCCTCTGCTTGTGTATTTTCTGATATTTCCTTCTCGAGCTTCGGTTCTAGAACTTTTTGTAAGATAGATTAATTATATTATACATGATATAATATTAAGGAATATAATATAAAATATACGAATATTTTAAAAAAACGAGTAGAAATTTACTTGAAAAGTATTTGATTGTTAAACAAAACATGCGTCCATGGTTTCTATACGTAATATATATTTTCGAATGTAGTGTAATTTATATACATATCTGTATTGTATATATATTTATATTTTAGTAAATTATATTAAAGAATCAACTTACGTTTGTCAGCAGCACTGGTTCGCCGCAATTTTTTCTGAGTGTAAGATAACACCATTTCTTTCTGAAATAAAATACAATGTTCAATGTACATAATTGATAATTTCCTTCTTATAATTAACATTTTTATATATATACCTCTTCTTGCAATGAGAGTGATTCTTCAGAAAATACACCAATAAGACGTCGTCTTATATCACTCGCGGATATATCGTTCTGTAATAAAAATATACTTATAAGAAAACTGTTGCCAGTTTAAAATCTGAAATATTTAATTGTATGCTTGAATAAAAATTATAGAAATATTTACCCTACGGCATTCTTTGCTATATAAACTACGAGGATACTAAATAATACTAATATTTTCGGATATACTACGCGATTCTTATTATTTTAACTCCTATATACTCTCGACTTTTCGGTTCCTTTGCTACAACCGTGATCACGGGCAAAGGAGATGAAACACGCGTAGTAATCCGAAAATCTTAGTTATATTTAAATGGTACACGCGAAAATCTTAGACACTTAAGGATACTAACTTAGACTTATATAATGTACGAGGGGAGGTCAAAAAGTTCGCGGAATGGAGGGGATGGAGGGGGTTGATTTACTCGTCCAGGTAGTAACTTGTTCAACACCTCATTAATAGTATATGCACCAAGTTTGAACCAAATCGGGTCATTAACTTTTGAGTTGTTGACCTGCAAACAAGTGAATCGGGAAGAAGTCAGTGAGTATGGTGAAAATTGAACACAGTGCAAGATGGGTTCCAAGAATGCTCACGCCACTTCAAAAGAGCGAGCGTGTCGAGTGCTCTCGCCAGTTTTTGAAGCTCTGTGGAGAGAATAAGGACGAAGTTATGGACCGGATTTTTACTGGTGACGAAACCTAGGTTCACCACTATGAACCTGAATCGAAGCAAGAATCGATACAGTGGCATAAAAAAGGCACAGCTCCTCCAAAGAAGTTTAAAGTGTCACAATCGGCCGGAAAGATCATGGCGACTGTCTTTTGGAATACAGAAGGTATTTTGCTGATCAATTATAAAGATCGTGGGGTGACTATAACGGGACAGTACTACGCTTCTTTATTAGATAGATTGAAAGAAGCTATCAAGGAAAAAAGAAGAGGAAAGCTGTCAAAAAGTGTGCTCCTTTTGCACGACAACGCAAAGGTCCACACGTGCCATGTTGCGACGGCTGCCATTCACCGATGCGGACTCGAAAAACTACACCACCCACCTTACAGTCTAGACTTAGTCCCCAGCGACTATTATTTGTTTTCAAAAATGAAAAAAAAGCTGCGGTGAAAAATATTTGAGAAGTCAAGTCCGCAATTTCGGCCTATTTTCATAGCCAAGATAAATAATTTTTTTCGAATGTATTAATAAATTATTTGTGAGATCCGAAAATGTATTAAGGTTAAGGGAGACTATATTGAAAAGGAAAAATAGTTTCGTGTTAAATTTCAACCCCCTTCCCGCTCATTCCGCGAACTTATTGACCTCCCCTCGTACCTAACCATTAACTATAAATAAAATACTAGAAGACCCGGCGAACTTCGTATCGCCCTATAATCAAGATATATCTGTTACGTTTTTTTATTTATATTTTTGGGACTTTACCTATTAAAGCCATAAAAATCTCCGTATATAAAGATAGGCTAAAATATACACACAAATATAAAGTCAATACCTCATCAACATCTTGCAGTTCAACAAGAGTAGAGTGTGGGTGTGTTCGTATTCGTATCTTGATAGTAACACCTCCAGACAGCTGCACTAGTTGTTCGCCGTCAGCTATCGCTATCGGCTGACTCCAGTCAGAGAAACCATCTACATAGAAATATTATATTAGTATTATCATATTATATTCTATAGCATGTATAAAAAATAAATAAATAGAGGGTATTTCGAGTATATCGATAGTTAGATAGTGAGATATTCATATTGGTATGTATTAGTGTATTATTATACTGTATAGAATGTATGGAAATTATAGTAAATAGAAAGTAGTTCGAGAAATGTATATTGGTAGTTTGATGAGACTAAACAAATGTTATATTGCTATTAGTATTCTTTTGATGTTAGTACCTGATGCACGTCTGACGGTAATGACTGGTAGAGGCTGCTTAGTAGTCTGTTGGGGTGGTGGGTACCTGGCGCAGTAGCCGGGAGTAGAATAGTGCGTCATCCGCCCCGCCTCTACGTTACACCACCACAGTACGTTCGTACACTCGTTCACCGCCTATCAAACAGACAATTCCAGTTTCTCAATATAATCATCCCAATAATATTATAATTACGAAAGTTTGTGAGAGAGTCTGTATGTTTGTTACTTCTTCACGCTCAAACGGCTGAACCGATTTTGATAAAATTTTGTATACAGAAGGCTGACGTCTAGGAATAACACATAGGATACTTTACATCTCGGAAATCCGCGGGTAAAATCGCGGGGCACAGCTAGTAATAATGAATGGTAAAATGACTACTAGGAATTAAGTTTGATCATGCATAATTGTAATAAAATTGTTTTTATGTAAATCTTTATTGTCATCTCATAACATTATGTATATAAGTATGTATAATCTTTTTATGTTATTAATGTGTTTTTTTTGTTGTAACCTCTACGTTATTGGTGGGGTTCTCAGTAGCAACTGGTTCCGCAACCATTAAAGCGGTGGCGGTGTGGTTTTGAACAACCAGCTGAGGGCACGGGTCTGGCGCGACTGTCACCACCCAGCGAGCCTCGTGACGAACTTGGGTTACCGTCACGCATACCTTTAAATAAACGGTTGTTGCTTATACTAAATAAATATAGCTTTCATAATAATCTTAAAGCCCTTCTATATTCAATAGCTAAATTTTTGTATGAAATAAATATTCCTTACATACATTAACTATAAAAAAAGAAAAATGTCAAACAGATCTTTTAGTTTTGTATTACGTCGGCACCTATTTTTTATTCCATTTAAAGGTAATAAAATTATTGACATCAATAAATTCCATAGAAAAAAAATGTGTTCGTATTCGAAAACATTTTAGGTTTCAATTTAATTGATTATACTTGTAGTGTTCAGAGTCTTTAAGTCTGAATTAGATGCAAAATATTATACATATTATAATTCTTTGCTTGTATTATCCGTTAAAATTTTTATATAAACTATTTTCCAGAATTTGTAAACATAGTTTTCTTCATTCGGTTTATACTAAATAGAATAGTTTAATTTTTTCCATGGATAGTAAAAAATTAGATTACCAAATCTAATAAATAATTACGCGTGTCAAATACATTAAGTTAACAAAACTTTTCGAAGTAGAAAACAAAGTTAAACCAGAAAAGATAATAAGTACTAACAGATTGTCCTTCATCGTCTGTTAAGGCGATCGATCTTCGCACTGGACTCGTTCCAAGAGCAACTGGCACTGGCGCCGAGTGGGACTTCTCCGTGGGAAGCGCAAAGCAAAGGAAAGTACGTAATTCCTCCGCATCCCCACCACGCCAGCGACCACTAACCCAAAAACGACATAGCGGTGTACCTTCCAGACTGGAATAAAAATTTGGATTAACAATTGCCTTCTTACATTTATTATTCTATATGCTAGAAGACCCGGCGAACTTCGTATCGCCCTATAATCAAGAAATATCTGTTAGGTTTTTTTATTTATATTTTTGGAGTTTACCTATTAAAGCCGTAAATCTCCGTGTTTTGAAGGGCGACAGAATGATTGACATATTAGTTAGTTGTTAAATCTAATGTAAAAAAAAAACGTTTGTATCAACAACTACTAATAAATTAAAAATTATTTAAAAAAACATTGTCCAGCGGATAAAATTGTGAATCTAAACCATTACCAGGTCTCCTTGAACACACGCAAAAAATTTCATCAAAATCGGTCCAGTCGTTTGAGAGAAGTTCTGTGACATACACACTCACAGAAGAATTATATATATATAAAGATTACAAATACGGTAAAACTAATGATTTCGATACTCGAAGTACCAGTATAGTCACTATATTTGTAAGAAAAATATCTGTATATTAAAGTTTGAACAGCCAATATACTACTCATCAACGTTTGAGTCTTTTTTTGGTAACTTCAATATTCTTTGATAATTCGAAAAGTATACTTGAAACTTAATTATATAGCAACAATACCTATTTTCTTTAGTAGGATGCACTAGTTTGAAAGCTTTAGGACGTAAAACGGACTTCGTATCCATTTCGTTGGGTATCGCTATAGCAGCCACCTGTGTAGGAAAGAAACATGATAAAATATATAATGTATTCATATAAAATTTATATTATTAATAATAAAACTTACCAAAATCACCCTATTCAGTCTGTTCATCAAAATATATGTAGAAGTGATGCCCATGACGTTTATGTCTTCTTTTATTTCGTAATACATTGTAAGTAGAGCAACCTGCGACAAATATCCATCATCAGCCTATGATAGCATTGTATGAAATTTGTTATATTCTTTTCGTGTTAAGTTACAGTACCTTTTGGTTGCACTGTATGGCGAAGTCCGTAGCCCTATCTAGAGTAACGTGGCCGGGCGCAGGAGTTCCGTATCTGCCGGGCTCCTCTTTACATACTTGGAGTTGACCGCTAACAAATGTCTCGCGACCCATCTCGACTGACATAAAGAACGGTTTCTGAAGAATACAATTATTATTTAATTTGTATGTAATATCGATATAATTGATAGAGAGTATGTCAAGACATAAAGAACGGTTATTGAAGAACACAATTATTATTTAATTTGTATGTTATATCGACATTATTGGTAAAAATATATCAAATGTTAATAACTAGTTTCTGAGCTGCTAGTATCATTATATTGGTGGAATGTATGTATGTATGATATTTGTGGAATGTATGGAATATATGATGGTACCTGAACAACTGCGGATGGTGGGGCAATAGCCATACCGGGTTCCAAACGACATAATGGCGTGGCGTCATGCGCTCGTAATGTTAGCGCCACTGGTGAAGCATTTGCTAATAACACCACAGGACACAATCTCAATTCAAGAGAACAACCTCCGCATGCTCGTACCGGCGTATAACGAACCTGTTGTATGGAATTGTAGAAAAATTGTTAGAAATTCATAGTCTATTTCGATTTATTAAGCATCGTGTATTAAATTAAATCTAATTCATAATTTTAGGAAAACTGAGAAGCAATGGTTGATAAAGTTAGGTTATGATATACGTTTTCTTTGGCAGACAAATATATTTTAAGCTATGTTGTAAATAATACTTATGTTTTAATCGTTGAAATTATACTTACGGTGACATCACAGCGTGGCTGAAGTAGTGCCGGTGACCAAGTACCGGGCCAATGTTTTCTGACTATCGAATATGGCCACAGAGATTTTGCCTCTTTCCCGCTTGACTTGATCCTGTAAAATTAATGTAGATAAATTAATAAACTTAAAAAAATTGAGGAAACAAGTTTTGAGCGTGTAATAAAGAATTTGTTATAGATATGGGACATCTATTCCATTTGGAATACTGAAATCTAAGAATTTTCTTTCATACATTTCATTACATAAGCCCCAGAAACAAATAAACTTTTTCAAAGGCAACCACCCTAAACGGAGTCTTAAATACCTAAAAACAAATTTAAAGTATTTACAGCGTGTAGTGGCTTGATAATATTGAGTTATGAGTATTATTTAGTATGAATACCATTTCTGAACGACGTCAATAGCTTCTTCAAGATCGTTGATCGACGGAGGTTTCTCAAAAACCGAGGTTTCGGTGACTCCGTAGTGAAGAGGCACGGCATCACGTGTTACGGGACAGTCTAGATTTCTAAATATACATAAAGTAAAATATTATTACATAAATTTATTAGTATGAATCGACAGTTAGGTAGATCTTTTTAAGATGGATGAAAGAACGTGGACATTGAGACAGTTAAAGTTTTATGTTAATAAGTGTTTTAAGTTATATATAGTGAAACAATATTTTGCCTCATGAATGATACTTAAATCGAAAAATAATTAATTAATCAATAACTTTTTTGATACTTAATATGGACCATTTTAACAATTATATTTAACTTATAATAAAAAATGCATTATCTAGTCAATATTCGAAAAAATACTGTTGGTTACATTAACCAATGTAACTTAAGCTCTGCGTAGTAGATGAGATTGAATTGATTTCGGGTTCCAAAGTCTATGAGTCTTATCGTCCTTATTTTTGGTGTCATATATGAATATCATAATTTAGAGGGAGTTAATCTTGAGAATATATATTTGTCTTTTTGAAAGCATTATTAAATAAAACAGGATAATATTTGAGTTTACCTGTATTGGAAAGTGAGGGTATGTCTCGCGGCCGTAGTTCCAGGAGCATTGAGATGTGTGGTTGCTCCGTGGCCAGAAGCCGTTTGAACGATTTTGATCGGAGTATCTGTACTTTGAGGAGGGCTTGAATCCGAAGATATTAGGACCTTAGAAATTTTAATCAACATTTTATTAGACATCACAGCTTATTATGTATGTTATCTAGTTTATATTAGAAAGGAAAGTTTTTATGTTTCTTTTGGTATGGTTTATCCCTACAAATATTATAAATGCGAAAGTAACTCTGTCTGTCTGTTACGCTTTCACGCCTAAACCACTGAACTGATTTTAATGAAATTTGGTACAGAGATAGAGTTGACCTGGACAAAGAACATAGGATAGTTTTTATACTAGAATATTGAAAGGTTCTGTTGAAAACGCGATATAACCGAACTCCACCCGGGCGAAGCTGCGCGCGGAGACCTAGTTATATATATTTATATATATTTATATATATTTATATATATGTATAGATTATAGTGACTCACATCAGCGTCTAGCGATAGATATGATCGTAGTATGTAAAACGGCCAGATAGTAGCCATGATCCGACCGGTGTTGCGAGCTCGTACAACTCGACACCACACTGAAGTGTAGGAGACATCACCAGCACTGGGCACTAGTGGTCATATCGATTGTTTTAAAATAAAAAAATATTATATAGAACTTTAATACAACGAAAGCAAGAGGCTTTTTGCAATAACACTGAAGAAAAATATATATGGGTAATATTGATTATGAAATTTCTGTTAAATCAAAAAGACTAAATTCGATATGTCATTTATAAAAGCATTGTTGTATTTGGGATATGACTTTAAATTTGTTTTGAATAAAAAGTTGAATTATACTACTTTTGTGGCAGTTAGAAGAGATTATACAGATTGATATTTCAGAATATATAGCATAGCTTATATTTTGATACATAATAACTATAACTTAATTATGAATCAGATTAAGGGTTAGTAAAAATTCAATAGCATTATATCGATAGAATACATTACCTTTAACTAGCCAGGGTACATTTTCTTTCCGACATTCCTTTAGAGGTATGTCACCGGACCAGCCGGATTCGTGGGATGTAAATTTAATTCTGTACAAAAAAATACCATAAGTATTATGTAATTTAAACTTATTTATACAAATAATGCCAAAAAAACGCCCTGTAATGCCTAAGTTAGACAAAAAAATCATATTTTAAATATATATTTTTAAATTCTTCATATTATACTTACTTTAATATTGATTCACAGTCGGATTTACAAAGAACGCTAAGTCCAACATTCTCTGCCAGTAATTCACCAGAACTGACGGTTTGCCAGATCTTTTTCTCGGGACATTGTGACCGAACCTATTAAAATTAATATATATAAAAACATTACTATGTCATTATAAAAAAATGAATGTATGGCTTTAGAATAAATAACATAAACTTACTAAGAGAAGCTCATTTGATATAGGGTTTAAAATTTCTAAGTTAAACATACGTCGAGTAATTAGATAAGAGGTTTAGCCAACGTAATAAAAGATATTTTTTTACACTTTTTGTATATGATTTTATATATGACAATTAAAATTAATATAGTATTTACATCAACTTAATATTGCCTGAAAATTGGATGATTTGACTTGATGTTGCATGTTGTTATTTATGCTATTACTGCAGGTTTTACTCAAAAGTTTAAATAACAGGTCGTTGTTAATAAGATCCACGATAAAAACTTTATTCTCGATTTATCGTATAGATATTTGTTAGATTAGACACGTGTGATTAATAAGAAAAGATATTGAGAGTTTCGCTATTAATGAAATTTAACAACAATAAGCAATATGTGCTTCCTTGTAACTGAACTGTATGTAAAAATAATAAATTTAAATCTTCAACTTAACTATGATAGTTGTACTTTAAAACAATATTTATATAAATGTTACCTTATACAAGAGGTTGTGTCTCAGTACATTCGCGAGTACAAGCCGCCCTGATAGATACATGTCTCGTCGTGATCCCGAATCCGTTACGTGCACGTAAAGATAAGAATCCTCCACACGAACACGGGCCGAACCCGAAAACGGTATACCTTTAAAGTTATTATTTATTTATACATATATAAATAATCTTATACCTTTTAAGTTGAGCACTGTGTTATAATTTCAAGTATCAAATTGATCTGCCTCTTAATTTAAATGATTATATCTATCAAGTTTATTTCTTGAATCTAATTAGTGAATATTAGATTTTATTCGAAGCTTCGTGTGATATTTTAATTTATTTGCAATTTTTTTGAGATCTAGGTAACAAGAGGTCATCTGATAATTTAGCCTAAGCTATAGAGCTTCTTTAAATTTGATTATTGAATCAGTCAGTCAATCAGTCAGTCAATCAGTCTTTGCTATAAATATCAAACAATATAATTACGATAACTTACTTGAAGACCAATGCCAATCAGCTGATGGACTCGCCACTGCAAAGCGTAGTTTCTTTGACGCAATCGGTGAACGCCATCTATAACATGTATGATTTTTAATAAAACATCAACTATATTAAAACTCATCACAAACTTTACGATCCAACCGTTTAAAATACTGGATGAAAATTATTAACATAATAATTAAGTAAAGAAAAAATTGTCGTGCTTTTTGCATGTGTGCTAAACGGATATTATGTAGTAATTTTTTATTGTTAAATCATATTTCTAAACAACACACTTTTTAGTATGGTTTAATATCACGCAATCTACTTCACATCTCGTCTGCCCGTGATCACGGTTGCTGAAAAGTAACCGAAAAGTCGGGAGTATGGAGTTTTCTACTAAAACAAATAGAAGTCGCGTGGTATATCCGAAAAATATTAGTTTCATTTAAATAATTCATCGTGTTAGTAGTTGCTAGCATGTTTGTGTGAGTTGTTAGTATGTCTGTGTGAGTTTTTAAAGTAGTAAATTAACAAGTATGCTATATAGTTAAGAATTATTATAATTTAACCTGTATGCTAGTGCTGCCCCCGAACTCAGTGGTACAATTTCATCGGTGCCTTCTTGACCGACTCTCAAAGCAGCGGCACAGCTATTATGAACCCATAATGACACTCGACCTTCTAGACATTTCTCTATACTCTCCACATGATGCTCCGTCACATCTATAATTCTTTCACTCTTAGGTATCGTAGCCTGTAACGGAATTAAATAATTAGATCTAAATATTGAATTATATATACAAAATGTTCTTTGTTATCAATTAAATCAACATAACCTTTAATGAAATTAAAGTAATTAATTATTGTGTATATCAAATCAAAGTTGATAGAATAATTACATACACGTTTATATAAAACTAGCTGTTGTTGTGCCATATAAAAAAATAGGGGTTGGTGGTGAAAAAGTAAAAATGTTGGGTTGTATGTATTTTTAACGCTCCCGCAACTCCCCTTGTGGGTGGAATTTCGTAAAATCCGTTCTTAGCTGACCTCTACTCGGCGAAAGGGATAATCATACCAAATTTCAAGTCGCTACGCCTTATGGTTCCAGAGATATTGTGATGAGTCAATATATATTAAGAGAACTATTAAGAGAACTATTTTTTTATACCTAAAATAATGTTAATGTGTATCAAGTTACCCCGCTGATGACGTCACTCCAGTCATCAGCCAATGCTCTGATTGTGCTAACTCCGGGCACATGTACGTTGACCCTTAGATCCCCCGCGCGCAGGCGAAGCCGGGGCTCGGAGCATAGCGACAAAGTGCCTTGAACGTGGAATTGTTGGACGAGCTCCTGCATTGTACCGGTCGCACTATCGATGAGATCGGTCCTAAAAAGCAATTATTATATAGTTAAAGTAAATTTTAAGGTATTATTTATAAAAATATTATGAGTTATTCAAGTGGAATTATTTTATTTTGAAGCCATTAAGATAGCAAACGAGAAAACCTCAGATCTGGTGGATAATATAGCATTCGCTTATGGATGGATGCAAATTTCTTCTTATAGGAATAATTTGATAGAACTACTGGTAACCAGTTTGTTATTGTAAGAGCAAAATCGCCGTATATTTCTTTAAAACTATCAAGTGAATAGAGTTCTCGATTAAATGGTTTTTATACTTACGAGACGTGCATATCGAATAGAACTCTTGAAGCGGATGCGAATATGGCGTGTATCGCCGAATCCCTAGTCCTTAAACTCAACACGCGGTGACTACGCATTAATGGACGCGAAACGTAATAACCCTCCACGAAACTTGTTTGTCTGAAATGTTAATTAATTCATTATATGCATTAGCATGAAAGATATTTATAGTTATATATTAGATGGTTATCATAAAGATGAACAAAATAGCAAATAACTGAATGTATATAGACATGACAATTTGAAAGGTATTAAGAAAAAGTCGAATGATATTACTTTACCATAAATACATGTAATCTCATCATAAAAATTATAGCTGTCACAGTTCAAATTAAAAGATACAGGATGGTATAATTACTAACTTTGATAGTTGTCTTATATCGTTGTGAACGTGTATTTCAACACCGGCCAGGCGTAAAGCTAGTCTTGCACGCGGCAGTAGACGTGGTGCGAAGTAAGAGTCGACTCGTAACGCCCCAGAGACTTGTTCCGCGGACACACGACACGTTTGACGGTAATAGTCACTCTCGATTACCGGCTCACCTGCCTGGAAAAATAAAAAAATATACATACTAATAGTTTTTGGTAGCCTTCGTCCACAAAGAAAATGGGCACAACCGTTAAAAATCTTTGAGCAATTTTTGCATGAGGGTGCAATAAACATTATTATATCATAAAAAAGAATGATATTCCTAAAAAAACAGACAAATCATCTGAGATCCTCCTCCTTTTTTGATATCGTTTAAATAATATTGAATGTAATGGAATCAAACCACGAAAGTTTATACCATAATTAGTATTTTTTTTCGAATCTGTTAATAAGTAATAACAGACAAAATATTTAAATGTTAAGCATTTTTTGCTTATGTATATCATTTGAATTTATAGGTTTATGTTACATATATATGCCTGCATATACATAAATATACTTTGATTTAAAGTTACTTTTACAAGGTATTGATAAAAATTTAAGTTATTTAAGATAATAATTGTATTTTCAAGTAATCCTACCAGAGGGTCATGTCTTGGCAGAAATTTTTTAGCATCGAACTCGAACGGCTGACTTTTCTGTTGTGTATCCGAACAAGCTCTCACTCGCCACATAAGAGCGAATACCGCATCTACAAATAATATTAAAATTTAGAATTGTTTTCGTTAAAAAATGATAGAAATTAAGAATTATGAAGAACAAAAAAAAAAAATCACAGGTTCTTGACACGTGATATGCATGAAATTTTTTTGTGTGAATTGTTATGAAGTTTGTTTATATCATGTGTGAGCATTATAAATAACCTTCTGGTGTAACGCTGAACTGCAACTCCTGAGGATCGTTAACTGGCAGTTGGAAATACGCGTAAGTTTCCCATCGCATCAATAGAGGGCAGTACAGTTCTAAAGCACATTCCACTTCCTCGACCTGGAAATTAATGGAGCATTAAATACAATATAATTACCAAATTTTTCTTCTTATGCATGAAATAAATGAGACCAAAAGCATCACAAAGCAATGAAGGGAAGTTGTTTTAATACTAAACTGTATATTTCTATGACGATCTTAATCTATTTAATAGAATTATAAGAGTTGTGATAGTATTATACTATATAATTAATAAAATCATTCGCTTGATTATATGTTATATGAATTTAAACATTAAAATATTATTATTATTAAATGTTAATATGTAAATATACCCACATGTCCCGGTATAGGGAAGGCGACCAGTCTAATGATCGCTCTAGGGTGTGGGTATCTCCATGATACCGTGCTACCATGCAGCATCACTTGATAGGCCATCGGTAACTGGCCGCCTGTTATTATCTTGAACGCCCCGCTCCTATATGTAATTATTAATAGGTGAAAAATAGTTTTAGCATGGTTTCGTAACACAAGAATATTCTAGATTATAATATGGAAAAGCACTATACAATTTTGCTTCTTGCGAAGTTTTATGGCTTATGTTTAGCATATATTGATTACTTTTGATTCAGAATGTCACCTGGTTTTTAATAAGCTTAATAGAACACACAATGCCTTCCATATTTATATATTTATGTGTTAGAAACATAGTGTAATAATAAGTGACATACCTTAAATCGTCCTTATAGTAATGGTACGCTTGATCACTCGTTTCAGAATTAGTATGCGGGACATAGAACGAGGATCTCGTTTGACCACACACAGGTTTAAACTCCGCACTTGGGGATTCTGATGGTGTTTCACTCTGCAACAGAACAAAATTTTTATGTTATCTATATTGCAAGAAAGAAATCAAGGAATTACGTGTCTATTAAGAAGGCTTATTTTATTGATAATACCTACCATTACCTCGAGTGATTCCTTTAATGTGTCAATGATTTTTACAATGGTGGTCATATCACTAGGTCTTAAGTCTATGGTGATGTGATCGAGGTCTATTCCCATTCGAATTGTCGGCTCTTTAGCTGAGGGTCCACCTTCAGCGCGACGCCAGGCCTCCCACGTGGCATCCAAAACCGCACTATTAATTTTATATAATAAAAAAAAATATCAACAACACCATAGTACACGGTATTAAAAAAATTTTGGTGCATTTTTTAATATAGTTTAAGTGTTATTACAGAAAGAAAATTCAAACTAGCTACTGCTTTATTAATATATAATGTATTAAAAAACACCAGCTAACTTATGGAAATATGCGTAATACGAGTAACTGTGAGTTATTTCACAAACTACAAACACATTATATTTCTGTTAGGGATACAATTCTAATTTTATACATATCGGATTGGAATACATTACAATACATTCAGATTTATTTTCATTCCGTTTCATACATACCCGGCTATCATAGGCTGTAGTAACACATGCCGGCATTCCGTTGGTGCACCAGTTGATAGCAGTAGTGCTGACAGTAAGAGCCTGCAGTTCATCTTTTCTGGTCGGTTACCAGCAGCCACTTGCACCCTCAATGCACCCCAACCCGCAACACCCTCCGACCCACGAACCCCTACTTGACCAGTATGCAACGAGATATTCTCCACTTGATTGGCAACTGAAACATATATACCACTAATATAACAAATATTATACTAAACCCTCTTATAGCCTAATAAAACCATAATGAGATCTTAGATTTACACGAGCGTTTTTGAAATGAACCTAATATTTTTCGGATTATATAACTTACTTTTAGCAACCGTAACGTCGGGAGTATGTAGTTTGTATGATCCGAAAAATTAGTTTCATCTAATAAATCATGTTTATTAATGAATACAAAGCTATTGAGATTAATCACATGTTTCATCGCTTATAACAAAAATTTTACTATAAGTAACTATTGATATAGAAAAATATCACAATTATAACACCTACCCATGTAGCGTCTCATGTTGTATAAAAATATTGATTTATGCTCAGCCATTGTCCTTGAATCTTTTTGTTGACATTCAATAGTTTTTTTGACCTGTAAAAGAGATAAGTTCTAAACTTTTTTCTTACATTTGTGATAGTAACGTTATACAGATATATATGGATACGAATTCATAAAAGCGGATATTTTTTTGGATAGTATGTATAAAAATTGTTTTATATTATGCTTTTTTGATTTGCCACTCCTATTTATAATGTGTATACCAGCTATGACTATCTAGATAGAGATATAAGTTTTATTCATGATATAATTTTTACCATTATTATAAATAATTTCTGGCGCCTCTAGAGATAATAATATTTCAATTGAATATTATGTTTTTTATTATATGGTAACAACTGTTATTATTTACCAATTCGATGGTTTTTTTTACTCTTCGTATTCGGTCGGCTGACACTTCGAATAGTACGGGTCTTTCGATTTCCAATTTGACCGCACCCTTCGGATTTCCGCTTGTTAATGTCATGTAGCCCCCTTAATACAAAATAATGCCTATAATTAGTGTTTTTGTATTAAATTAGTTCCTATTTAATATTATTTATCTTTACCAGAAGCCAGGTCGATCCTAAGTGTGGCAAGTGCTGGTGGTATATCGGTGACAGGATCATTGGTTCCATTGGCGGTTATCATTAATGGTTCGTTCCAAGAAGTCGAATTTGGCCCGGCACCCAAACCAAACCAGGCGTCGAACAGAGATATCTGTGTGATTATACGGCATATTATGGTAAAATTTATTAGTAGGTAAAAATACAGTAAGTACAATTTTTGAGTAATGAAAGAGTGAGACAGAATATTACTAACTCATTCCACTCAAGATGTGAATATTCCATATATTTGGTTATCATCCCTCTAGTGAATTTTTAAATAATGACCACTATTAAATAATCTCTAATACCTGTATTGTCTTCTGTTTCCTTCTTTTTCTATAATAGAAATTAGGTTGTTGTAGTGTTGCGTGAACTAACGGAACATTGCCTTCCGTCTCTCTCGCGAATTGAAGGGCCTGGTGGAAATAAAATAATATATTTTATGTGAAAAAAATATTATCCTTATCCTAACACTGTAAATACATAAATTGTACCAAATACAACAAATTTCATTCATCATTTAAAGTATATTGAAAAATTACATCGTGGAGAATTTTAAGCTTGACAAAAATCACTAATACTAATTTGAGCAATAGAATTTTTAGATGATAATAATTATTCTATATTGTCAATAATAAATCGGCCTCACCAATCTATCCAATTTAGTTTTTCCAACGTCAGCATTCCTGTGTGTCTCCGTAAGACTTCTGCAGGCCGTCATAGAACCTCTACTGTCATCTACCTTTGGGGTACTCTTTTTTTCCACTACCGTCACCTAAAAAAGAAGCAAAAAAAATCTAATTATATTGGTTTTCCATATCAACCATACATTTCAGTGTCGTATTATGAACGAACAAAAAATCTGCTATGTACGTTATTATTCTAGTTCAGAGGAAATTATGCATGAAAACTTTGAAGCAAATATCTAATATAGATTGAGTTGTGGTTTTGTATACTCTTTTGGTTTTGATTAGTTGAGTGACTTCTTATTAGTTCCAACATGGCGGAACACTCAAGATGGCAAGAAAGATATTTCAAATGTCCTCTTTTTCGACAAAAACTCTAAAAATCCTGATGTTTTAAAAATCTTTAAGATTTAATTCCTTTCAAAATATAATATAACATGGCACTTTAATTTATAAAATCTGTGATAAAACTGTTTTAGCATCAAATTCATCAGCCTATCAGAGCGCACTTCTGAGCTAAGGCCTTTTCTCACATGGAGAAGATTTGAGCATTAATCACCACGCTAGCTAAAGACGGGTTGGTGATTTCAAACTTATAAATTGGATTAAGTCCAGGTTTCCTCACGATGTTTTCCTTCACAATCTGTCAGTGGTATGTAAATACTCTTAGATCTTACATATTAAATACCTTGATCTGATTGAAGACTTCTTTATCCGGCTCCTGTGGCTTGAATATCCCCGGCGGTGGTTTAAGTTCCGTTATTTCGGGCGAACCGTCATCCCTCGCGTACAGAGACACGTCGATGGTGCCCATTGTGATGAATACCTCCAAAAAATCTGACGATTTCGCCCTATAATGTTTTTATATATTTTAAGATTCTTTAATACCATCAAACGAGTAATTCATCTATACATGTATGAATGTTAGAACGACTACAACGATTTTTATGAGTTATAAGCGTGACCGAATATTCGTGAATTAGCATTTAGCTACGAATTCCTTTTTTAACATCGCTTCATATGCGTTTTCAAACTACGATGTATTACAGGTTGATAATTATATGAATTATAGTCTATTATAACGACACTCACGTGTAATCCACGCCGGCTATAGACACGGACTTCTTAAGAGGTACCGAAGACGAATCACGTCTGATCTTATATGTAGAGTGTGAAGCCGTCTCGAAACCGGAATCAAACATGTAGCTGCGACTTGTCTCCAAAACACTCTTTGCCCCCTCTGAAGGTATTTAAATAAATGACGTATTTACACATTTGTAATAGAAAAGTGTCAATTTACAGAGAAATGAAATTTTGTGAGAAAACCTAATAGAAATGCTTAATCAACCAAATCATAAGAACAATTGGGGCACGATATCGTGGAAGACGTAGCTTTGAATCGTGGTCGTCCGATAATTTTTTTTACATTTATTTTAATTTTAGGTCGTAGTTCATGTATTCAAAAAATGTCAATAGGAATTTTAATATTGAAAAGATATTATAAATGTGAATATATTTTTAATACTAACCGCTTTCGCACCGCCCTTCAAAGAGAGTTGTCTCACTGTCAGTGGGAGATGTATCAGATGGCTCATGGGTTACAAGATAGGGTAAGTATGGACAGGATGCATCTTCTTCAAGTACAAATGAACTGTCTTCCCTGTTATAATATATATATTTAAACATTATTAGTTATTCACAGTAATTACCAAAGAACAATCTAAATAATTATATTAAGTATATTGTGCAACTAGTGCGAGGTGTCGATTGGGCAATCTATATTTTATTACGAATGCGGGGATAATGGGAGCATTTCTTGTTATTTATTTTATTTTTTATAAGTTTTTTGGTCGATTCGCGAATTTGTGTATCAATGAATATTTGGGTGCGAGAAGTTTACTTGTCGCACTCAAATAGAAATTTAATTGTGTAGTGGGCAATTAGCGTCTTTCGACCCCAAAAGCAAGCTCAAAGATATTACTTTCCCCGCATGAGTAATAAAAATATGTATTATCAATTCATAATCATCAATTGTAATATACATAGCTATAATGTTACCTGTGTCGTAATGCGTGAGCGAATCTTTGAGCCATTTCTTGCATTAGGCAGAGTCTACATGCGGCTAACTCTACAACGCAGTCAGATAGCAGGTTCAATTCCACCGCTGCCCCGCACGTCATAGCGCCGCAACTATATATAGGGGGCGCCAGCACGCAACTCACGTCCATTCTGTTATAAGACATACAAATTTAACGTGACGTTTAATAATACGTTATTAAATTTTTCATCGTGGAACGTAAATATTTAGACAGACATTTTTAAAATGTAACATCCAAACAATGAATAAAAAAATCAGTACCGCAAAGTCTAAATGACTATTAGTTTCCTTTAAAAAAAATGTTTTGTAAATGTTAAATAACCATATACATTTTTTATATTTTGTTTATAAAAAATAATTATTAATGGTATGATTATTGGTGTACTCACGAATGCAAAATTGGTGTGATGATAGGAGATATTATGGGTTGGCTCCATTTTAAAGCAGGATTTTCACTACCTGTGCCCTTTAGGATTTCAGATTCTGTTGCCTGTTAAATATTCAGAAAAATTATATAAATGTTGCAATTTTCAGAAATCTGATGATGAAATTTTTTTGCAATGACGTTTAAATTACTTGAACTATAATAACTTTAGAATATTTTAGATTTTGATAGGAAACTTAATTGTTTATAAATAGGTCTTAACTGAATTTAAAATTTTAAGGAATAAAAACTTATAACAATATGATAAGTGATATAGAAATGAATTTCAATAATTTTACATTTATAGTTTCAACTGCATTATCTTTTCATTGCTATAATATAACCATGTGGAACCAACCTCTTCATTAACAATCTGGCTAAACCTTGCTGAGTTGAATCCCAGGTTTTTCACAAGGACTTCGTACTGACGTCCCTCGAAGCCCGGAGCTGGCGACGACCAATTGTTATCAGCAACGACGTTTATCGACTGCCTGCAAATTATAACATTATTATTAATATAACTTGCTTAACATTACTATTAAAGTAGAAAATTCGTGATATACCTGCATATTGGATTATCTGGATGCGGATTTACACTTACTTTGCCAATCTGTAAGACAAAATCAGTTAGGAAAATATAAATTAGTGTAAGAATTCGTTGAAATTACTCACAATGAGCATAAAGGTGTCGTCTCCTTTATCATTATCTTCTTCCCCGTTAGTCAATAACAACCTCAAACCACCAGCCGTTACGTAGAAGAACGGCCATTGCCACGAACTTGAACTGTTTGTAAATAAAGAATATATAATAAATAATAATCATTAACATTGTGATATAGAACAAATAATCAATTGTTCGTAGCACAATAGAAGCCTAGCGTTTATATTTAAACAAGCGTATATCGCTCATTCAGAAACAAACAAAAAAGTAGTTCACATTTGAAACCTGTTTTTAAAACATTAAAATATGTAGAGACAAGATTTGGTGAGACCAGTATTAGCATATTGTTATAATTGCTACTGTCTTTCAATTGCATTCTTAACATTATTTTTAAAATTAATTATGAGTTTTAATTAGAGTTGGAAAGGAAGAGTTAAGAAGACTAATGTATTCTGATACATTCACCCTTCCAACAAATCGAGGAATAGCCTTCAAATAAATTAAGATCATTTATAATAGGCCTACATCATGATGACCACGACCGTTCATGATGAGAACGTATCGACTTAGAAGAATAATAGGCCTCTGTCTTACCTTTGGTCGTCAGTAGTTAATGGGCACATAGCTTGCGGCGTGAGATCATGTAGCCAGCATAGCATATAATCTAATACATCGGGCTGCAGAACAGCCTCCAGCGGCGCTAAAGTCGCGTACACCTCCCACATGCTGTCTATGTTCTGTTGATAAAAATACATGTACTTCAAATAGTTATTAATTGATATAGAAGTACCTACAATATCCACTTTTGATTAGTAGAAAATTAGTATCGAGTTGTTATTGAATATAATGCCACAGCCATCTGTGGCATTTGCTCCATAGCAAAGGTTACAATTTATTGGCTTATATGGGATATGATTGTGGAATATATTTTTCCACTTGGATGTAGCTGCTAGATTTATTAGATTTGAGTGCGCCACTAAGGACGGTAAATGGCCGATTTAGGAACTATTTTTGAAATTCAGGTTATAATAATATTTGTCTTTGTCAAAATCTTTGTCTTCGACAGTAATGGTGCCGTGGTTTATGTTTTCGGGAGGTAGTGGAGATTTTTTTTCATTTAATGTCCGACGTAATTTTATTTTTAGAGTTTAGAATGTTTAGACAAAACAGTTTCGAAAAATCTCTTTCGTTTAATCTTGATATGGAACTAACTATGGAAGTCTGAGATCTCAATCTCTCTAACGAATGTATAAAGCGTTTTCAATAAATAGATTAATTAAATATTTTAACTTACAGCATTTTGTTCTAAGAGTTTAGGATGGAGTTCTTCTTTCCAGCTCACTGGCAAGTTGGAGATACTGTAATCAGAAAATATTTTAGTAAATAGTGAATTCGTTATTGACATTATATGACTTATATATCAAACCTTGCTTGAGTAATTGTGACAGCTAGGAAATGATTCTCCTCTTTTGCATTGGCCGGTTCCCGCACTTCAATAATTCGACCACCGAGTACTCCTGGCGTCCAATCGTCGCTGGATGTACTGTAATTTATATAAAAGGCTCATATTAATTATATCACTCATTACACTTGATATGAGATCAAAATTTTATTTAGTTTATTTAAGAATTACAAAGATATAAGGACTTCGTTTTTTAACATTTGTCTATTATAAATTTTGGGATCTTGCATTTTATGAATTACGACTAGTATTAATACTGATAAATTTCATATAACTTCTATCGCAATAAGTATATAGTTTGTTGAAATATACCGTTTATAATGACGTATAGAAGCAGACGCCACTTTGACCTTGAGCTGGTTGTAGTGTTCCTGAAGGTCAACGGTGGATATGACGTCATCAATCACTATCGCCAGTTTCACCTGCGGAGTCGCAACAACTATAGTTGCGCGACTCACAACCCATTGGAACCAGAAGAATGTTTTCAGTTTTGTATCTATAAACATTTTGTATATATAATTATAAATAAATTAATATTTATATTCAAACTAAAGTATTACTTAATAAAATCTCTTTAATATTACATAGTTTCTGAAAAGTACAACCATTTGTTATAGAAAAGGTATTTTAAATAAAATATTGAGACACAATCGTTTTTATTTTTTCGCGAGTTCTGTGTTTAACTTTGCAGGAATGATTTCAGAATAACCCAAAAACTCGTAAAATTTTAAATTATTTTAAAATTAATATCAGGCAAAGAAAATAATGTTTTGATTATATATCACTATATAAATAAATAAGGTATTATATACCTAGAGCATTGTATTCATGTGATTCAAAAATACTGATCAGCTGTTCGGAGTGGTTGTCGCTGGCTTCCTCTGATAAACTCTGTCTCGCGTCCATTTCAGAAACAGATCTTAAATAAATATAATAAATATTAGTTTGGGTTTATGTTAAATAAGAACAATCTTAAAACATATGAACGCTTCTGTGTTCTATACTTGAGGTATTGTATTTCAAATGAGTGCTATCATGGGATATAGATATTTTTTATGAAATATATGTAAAGATTTGTGTATAGAAAAACAAGTAAAATGATTGTAGACCTTAATTAATTTTATTTACAATTTAAATCTCTTTAAATTTTAGGTTGTCCAAAAAATATAATTAAAAGAATACATTAATTAAACAATCGAAATTTAAACACCTCCTGAGCGATTTGGTGGAACTGCCGACGGATGAAAAACCAGTCTTAGTTACAACTGACTGGCGCGTCAACAGCGATACTATGTGACTGAAGCAGTGAATAGCTATAGAAACAGCTTGAACCTGAAATATATAGACATTTATTAATATGGACGATCGTCTACTTAAACTGTAACCCACGTTACAGACATTTAGTTTATTATTATATTATCTTTTTCAGAATTTTTCTTTTTATTATTACTGCATCAAAGCAAACTAGGTTTTATATATTTAATATTATGTTAGAGAAGTCACTTTTGAAAGTAAGGAGACAATTTAATTTGACACAGAATAAAAATATATAATAAAAGTAGTTTAACTCATTTTTACATCATCTACCTGTACTAATTCATTGCTAAATATATATTCGTATATAGAAACAATATTTAAATAGTGTTTTAATTATTAGGAACATAAATTACCTGATCTTGATCTAGTCTAACTAGTACGGGCGGAGTATCAGCGTGAAGGTTTACACCAAGCGATACAACCGGACCGCTTTTAATTGTTGTCTGAGCGGGAACTGGTTCGGGAGCGGGGGGTGTCTCTTCTGGCTGTAATTAAACACAAAATAATTACTAATATTGAAAAAATTACCTTAAAAATCAGTAATATAGAAAATATTTCAGCTTAAAATTTCTTCTGATAATCTGCTTCCAATGTAAATACGCGGATTTGCAATGTCCTCGATGAAATTACTTATTAAACAAAAAAAATCGTCAATGCCAAAATGTGCCTATCAGTTATAGTCAAAAATAATTACAAGTTTCAATGAACATATAATGAACATATACATATAATGTAAAGCAACTTAATAACGTTTTTCATAAAGCATTTATTCCATATTAAAATATTCGAAGAGCCGTACTCACCTCTGGACTCTTTTTGAACCTGGAAGAGAAACGAAACAGCATCGATAATTAACAAGTTTCATGTATAGAGAGAAATTTATAAGCGTATACAGCAAACATACCTAACTGGTCCTCGTATGAATTCTTTAAGGGATGAAGGCTTGAAATCAACGCCGGATGTGAAGAATTTTGTTCTCTGTAATATTTTCATTTATTTAAACTATATTTATAATTAAATTAACTCTATTAATATAATAATCTTACATCTTCCTCCTTGTGTTCTGTGTGTCTATGCCTTACATCGAACTTGCGTGTTTTTATTTGGAGGCTTTTGGTTACAACGGACAATGTTACAGTCGTGGTGACAAGATCAAGTACAGTTCTTGGCATCGGTATTCCAGTAGACTTCAGTTGAGAACGAAGACCTGATGCAGATTTTTCCCTTCCGTAGGTACTCGCACCAGCCTGTACTTCTAGTGTATAACATGATACGTCCGCTAGACGAGTCTTCCAAGGAAACGAATCTTCAGTCACTGTATGTAAGTTATAATTAATAAAAGAGTTCCAACGTTTCAAGAACTTAAAAAATGTTTTTTTTATATATAAATTGTATCATAATCTTTCCAGTTCGTAACCATGAAATCGTTAACTTATTTTAACTATTAAGTAAATGAAAGTAGCCATTTTTATTTTTGCATAAATTAGCGTATGAACGTCCATCTACTTATTTTGTAACATTTTTTTTATGATCGCTTGGTTTTAATATAAAAAAACGTATATTTAGTTCAAAAATATTACCGTTTGCTTCTTGTCTTGGCCGACGCAGTGTAGGATGATCGTGCCGCACTTCCTGCCAAATGTATTTCATTTGCGAGTTCGAGTGCATCGATAGGCGTCCGAGGCTGATGGAGAAACAAAAAATATAATACATATATAAATGATTCCAACAAAAAAGTAATAATTAAAAAACACTATGAATTGAGATTGTATCGTCAAATATCGCCTAAATTTAGAAAAATTTTAGAAACTCTTAACTGATTCTATTTAAGTAGATAACTTAAACTATTAATACAAACACTAAAAGATATATGTATGATAGTCTACCTAAGAACTAGTACTCTGTGTCCCGTCTCTGCGTGTCTTTCCATAGCGTCCCTCACCGTAGCAAAGTCCACGGCGGATACGGAAGATGACGTCACATATACTAAAACCAAGCCAATTTCGGCTGTAATCAGTAGCCGGTTAAGGCGCTCATGTAGCTGCAGTAGCTTATCATCTGTCCATTGACTCACTTGTCTAGTCTGTATACAAAAAGAAAATTTATGAATTATCTATATTAATATATATCGATGGGTCCTGTGTATAAGGACCAAGGTAGCAATTTAGCCATTATAATTTTCTTGCTTAAATATAATTTAAAAAATATATATGATCTAAAACAGTTATAACTCACACGTGAACCTATAATACAATTTCACATTTGTGGATATTTTACATTCGTGGACTACCCTTGATATGATGCTTAGTCGGTTATAGATTATTTCTGTTCTATAACATATTTATTTCTTACCACTTTGGGCGGAGGCTTGATATCTTTTCGTTCGCTTCGTTCGCTACTAGATTCTTGGCTGCGCGGTCGGACGTGGACCAGCTCAGCTCCTGATCCTGAACGACTTCCTCCGCGACCGCTCGATGACTACAATAAATATATAAAAACATTTAAACAATAAAAACTACTGACATATAAAATTCCATAGACTATATAGATATAAACATATAAGGAAATATAATCCAACCAAATCATTATTTGATTATTTTTCACACATAAACTGAGTTGCTACGACGGATGAGATTAATTGTATACCTAGCATCTTACGATATAATGTTTGACAAAGAAATGGTACAAGCTACTTGCTATAATTACTTTTCCACATATAAGAATATTTGGATTTCTGTATGATTCTGACTGTATAAGGAAGTAAATTCAATGAAATTGCTAATACCTTGACGTCAGAATGACTTACAGGCGGTGTGGCACGTCTGCGGAGATACTGAGATGATGATGTGCTACGGAGGCTGGTAACTTGTGGCACCGTATCTGTGTCAGAACATAAAGTTTCAATAGATTTTTTTTCTTAGCCTGTTAGTTGATTTTATTTAACCTATTTAGCTTGAAATTCTAAATATGTTAAACCGATCACGTATCGCTACTTATATGTATAAAATTCGCATAAACGTTTATTGCCATAACCCTCTGGAATGCTGATGATGAATGTTGATCCCATAATAACATTTCTTTTTTTATTCTAATGTATTTTTTACGATGTTCAATTAAAAATACACACGACCTTTGATTCTCTCCTTTCTATTATCAGTCATAAAAATTTGAATTTTTCCCTGGTCGATTTCTGATGAATTATATAAATTATATTATATTATATATTAACGGTGTTTAATTTTATTATTCTCCTAACTTACTCAATATTCTCTGAGACTGATTTGAAGGCCACATATACTTAGCCGCACTCAAGAGACAGTATAAATATTTCGATAAAATTTGATAACACAGAAACAGTTTTATAACAGTTTTAATATCTATGATTTTAATATAAAATACTTGATAAGACTTTAAGCTTTAATCTATTTTATATCAATCATTGTACTTATATGTATATCATACCTGTAGGTACAATCTTAAGTTTCGGTCTATATCCCAGCCACGCGACTAGCAAAGGATCTACACTGAAGGCTGTAGGTTCGATCCAAACGCCAGCATACTCCAACATATCCGGCGTTGGGTCCTTACACCATTGTACCGCAACACGTATATAAGGACTGAAACATTATTATTACAATCACCAATATATAACCATAACAAATAAACCACTTCGTCTTAATTATGAAAATTACTTGGGACTTCACATATCTTCGGGGATAGTGCTAATCCGAGTAACTACCTAACTACTACTAATAAATTAAACACTAAATAATTACTAATTGTGAAAAAATTACCTTAAAAGTCGTTAATTTTAATATATTTCAGCTTAAGCTTTCGTCTAATAATCTGCTTCCAATGGAGATACGCGGAATTATGAGGGTAGTAATTATGAGGATTTGGACTATCACGGACGATATTTAGATCCTACTAATATTATAACTGCGAAAGTTTGTGAGTGTGTGTATATGTTTGTAACTTCTTCATGCTCAAACGGCTCAAACCGATTTTGAAAAAATTTTGTATACAGAAAGCTGACGTCCAGGAAAAATACATAGGCTACTTTACATCCCGGAAAATGTTCGACTTTTCCTCATATAAGCGAAAAACCATATTTACTTACGTAACACCGTGGGGCGCAGCTAGTATGTAATAAATTGTATCTAATATACTCACACAGTAGTTGGTGCTTCTGGTGCCGAAAACAGCCATGCCTGTTTAACTTGTCCTCCGGCTGGAAAAATTAAATTCAAATACAATTATTGACTTCAAATAATTTCAGGAAAACTTAATAATAAGATGTTAACTTACAAAATGCATATGTATATAAAAATTTGGTATACTTTTCTTGAAATATTTTTCTGATAGAATAGAGATAAAATGCTTAAAAAATAATGTCATCATACAAATGTTATATTATAAGCGTAGTTTCACTTCAATTATGGAAGGCAGCAAGCAAGAAAGTAAAATGAAATGAAATTGAATAAAGATATATAAAAATCGCAACGCTATTTCAAATCGCATTTGCCGGAAAACGCTGTTTTTTAAAACACATTTGCTCATACTAACTCGGTGAATGGAAGGCGGTGGCTCGAGCGCTTTGCATGGTCACTATGTGAGTATTGATGTTTCTCGTCAAATAACCCCGGATGGACAATTCTTCTAGTGTTATATCTATCGCTACGCTCTCTGTGGAAAAATATCTTATTATCATTGAGAATATTAGCTTTATACTATTATTTCTTGCACCCACTTAATCGGGAAATTTTCATAAGTTTATATGGAATGTATATATAAATAAATATATAATACCTTCATCACCGAGTGCATCTTTTGCTAGTGTTGTGTAACGTAGTGGCAAGGAATATTTCTCTGCTACGATTGAATTTATTACTTGACAAGCTGCTTGTAGACGGGCTGATGAGCCGCAAAAATTTGCTTCGCCTGGAAAATATATAAAAATCTTAGCCACAAGTGTAAACTCTACCGAATATATCAAAATTAGTAAAGAGAAAACTCAGACACGGTTCAAAAACATTAATAAAAAAAGCAAACGTTGTCTAAATGAAGGATAAAATAGATTTAAAGGCAAACATTTTTCATAACTTACGTATTTTAAGATTATAGCTGAAAAACACGCTATCTTTTCCGAAGTAGTTGCTGTTTAGTAGGGTGTGGGTCACAAATCTGAGGTCTGCTCGAGCGCAAGGTCTAGGTGTGTCGTTAGTACATATTCCTAGCTGGACAGCTGTGACGGTAGCCGAGATATGCAAGTTAGACCCCTGCCATAGAGGACCGGATTCACCTGGCACTTGACATGCCGCTGAACATACCCTGAAACATAATTATTACTTCTAAGTCCTTATCTCCTATAACTCCGCATTAATGATAGTAGAAGACGGCATTTACTAATACTATTATAATACCTACTAATAGCAATAAGACATAGTTTTATTTATTATATTTTTTTGGCACCACAAATTCAACCGAGAAAACGAATAATCAGACATCAATATATATATGTACTAGCTTTCCACCCGCAGCTTCGCCCGCGTAGAGCTCTGTTACATCGCGTTTCCAAGAGAACCTTTCAAAAGTCTGGGATAAAAACTATCCTATGTTCTTTCTCAAGGTCAACTCTATCTCTGTACCAAATTTCATCAACATCAGTTCAGTGGTTTAGGTGTTACTTTCGCATTTATAATATTAGTAGGGATAATAAAAGAACACTAACCTGTGAGGGTATAAAGGTCCGGTAATAAGAACCGTAGCTTTAGGTAGCTGCAAATCCAATACAAGAGGAGGTTCCGCTGGTTTTTCTACCAGAGAATGATCCCAGGGCGACATTTTAATACGGAGACCTGTTATATCAATGGCTGTATGCCGCTGCGGCAGGTTTTCCGACAGAGCCTCATTTTCTTCCACTGTCAATATTCTCATCGAAGGTTCTAGAAATTCGAAAAGAATAAGTTATAAAATATCTAATATTAAAATAAACTACAGAAATATTTTTTCACCTCTATCAGCCGGCAGCGGAACTTCTTGAAAGACGTTTTTAACAACAGCCAAACGATGTAAAAGTCCAGTGGTCACGCTTATTAAGATTGGACGAATGGATATTTTAACATTACTATCTTCTATCCAATCACTGAAATATGTGAAAAATTATTTAACATGTGAATAGAAAACTGCGTGTGAAACATTCAAATAACCATGTAATATTCAATGGTTAGGATCCTTTTTTTATATTGACCATCAAAGGACTGATATATTTTAATAATAACGTTACGGTTAGCCTTAAATATTGAACATATTATGAGATATTATATTGTAATGTCTTAACAAAAGTATTTTAGTTTATTCTTACCTATATTCGAAGTCCCCTGGTGGGTTATCGTAGGGGTTAACGTAATTGTTAAGTGGAGTCCTATCGTGGTTGTATTCGAAATATATAACTGGCGCCATCTTCTGCCAGAACTGATCCCCTTCATCATTCGTTTGAACTCCTGGTCGGGGTTCCACATTAGGTTTTTCCGTTTGCTGTGTTTCCTGATGGTATTGTACATTTTTAATTGGTATTGTATTATATATTTATAGCATGATATTTACCGTCTATCATATATTGTAGAGTAAAATTATTTTTATTTTAAGATTTCATAGCGAATATAAAACAAATTCACGGAATAAATTCACTAAGACTTGGAAGAAGAATTTAGGCTTTATCTAACTCTGTGACACCTAAAAAGTTTCGATAGGTGTAGTAATAATATGAACTATTTCTTTGTTATAGGAATAATTTGAAATAATTTTAGCTATCCTTTACATTTTCAGAGACTTCTCTGAGCTCCTCTTCAGCGGCCACCGCTGTTTCAACCACCACCTCGTTCAAATCAACATCTTCCCAGCTCCACGGCATATCATGTTCGCTGACAACTTTACAGAGATATACAGTTGGCTCGTCGTTGGCCTGGCAATTTTCAAAATAATATTTAATAATATTTTAATGTTATAGATAATAAAAATGTTTATTGTTGTTGCATTTTTTGATCTGCATTGGGTTTAACTCAATACTTTTGCCAACGGGTAACAAAAATTTTGATAAAATGAATATTTGCTTCGCACAATTCATAATATTGCTTTCATAAACTACAAAAAAATGATACTTCTCAACTTATACTCGATATATTACAGCATAAGACTGTATATATAAATCTTACAATTATCAATACCAATCTATTGATACATATGAATAATTAAATTAATATAATCAAACTCACCGCGTTTATATCAATATGTCCACAGACGCACTTCCCAATCGATTGTATAGTGACAGTCTTAGCTCCTACCCTCACTCGTATCAAAGTCGGTGAACACAACGAGCTCTTTATGACAGCATCAATACAGTTCAGTTCTAGCACACCACGTGCACGCTTGCGATTATTGCTCTCGACTTCCATTATCTGGAATTTATTTATATTATAAGAATAATCTTTGCATATGTATTCATTTCATTAATACATTATATGTAAAATGTTTATATTAATTTATTGCTATCAAAGTAGGTAATAATCAGTGGTGGCCTAGTGGTTAAAAGGCCCGCCTCTCATACATGAAAGCGCAAGTTCGATCCTGGCCCGGGCAAGTACCAATGTGATTTTTCCGAATCATATGTACATTCTAAGAATATTTAGACATCACTGATTAATGCTGATTCCCAAAGAAGGTTGATGTCAGGGAGGCGGCCGGTCGTAAAAAACAAATAGCCAAAACTTTTCACAACGTGTCAGGCAGACCCTGGCTATAGCTGGGAAATTGCCAGTAAGAAAAAAGTAGGTAATGGATTTACTTTAAATACGAGCGACACGTGGTCCAGGTGTGCTGTAAAAGCCACAGGTACAGGTGCAGCTGGTGCAGGTGTCTCCTCAACACCGTCTCGATCCATCCACGTAGGCAGCCATGACCACGCCCACTCCGACCAACTCTCACTACGAGTGGGTTCAGCAGTATTGGACGATATAGGATCTAGATTGGAAGAAGCAAAAACATCTTCATAGGCTTAATAAAAACTATATCTATATATCACTTATGTTGATTATACGATTTTAATCTAGTACTAGAAACGGAATGTGAGTTGTTTCATTAAAATAAATGGAAATATTTTGTAATGAGTATGTGTAAATATTTTTTTTATTCCATAATTAATGAATTTATCTTTATTTACTATATCAAAAACTAATTATTTGAATTTTTATCATTTATGTATATACTATAAGCGTAACCAACGACTAAAAATGTTTTTATTCTAGCTCTCTAGTCTATGACTTTAATTTAATTTATGGTAACATACGCAATGGCGCGGATAGGTTCACACTGGCCGTTTTGACAACAGGTGGCGGTTGCTTCTCGAAGTTTCTTTCTCTTATCAGCCGCAATAACAATACCATCTGTTCGCTGGTAACACCAAACGCAAGTTTGCCAGATCGCAGCTGTACAGTAAGACTTCGGGCACGACGTGTATTCGCTGACACCAAGCGTGTTAACACCCTGCACATACATCGCGTTAAACGACAATAATAAGGTCTTATAACCCCTAAAAACAATTTAATTACTATACCTAAGATCAAGTTGGCAACGATATAGAAGTGGTTCTTGATAGAATCTTATTTTGCCATCCGAATCGCTCTTATCCAGACACAGTGTGAGATCGTCGAGTCTTACCAATCGTCTTATTGCTGGCTGGTTTTGATCGATATCTGAAAAAAGAAATACACATGAAACAAAAGTATTTGAAATACTATGTTAATAAGTATTTGTATAATCTATATACCAGCAAATGAAGGTTCCCAGTCGGTCCCAACACTATCGACAGCCAGCCGTTTGACGTTTAATGACAGAACAATATCATCTTGCACGTATTTCACTATGAGAGAATGCACGCGCACCGCAATATTGCTGACGATCCTTCGCACTAAAGCCTGCATATAACCTGGTGGTGCTTCCACTACTTGTGTCCTGGAAAATATAAAAAAATATGTTGTCTTTATTACTTAAGGTTATTTTGATCTACAATTTTTTAAAGTCACTTATTATATCGATTAATTTTTTTATGCCATCTGTTCCATGTCGCATTACAGTTATAAAGTAATAGCAAGCAACGCTAATATGACGCCACTTGTGATGTTGCATACATGTTTTACTATATTTCAATTATTAAATAGAGAAAACGTAATTTTGTTTCCCTACGCTAATAATTTTCAGTTTTTTTTATGTTTAACATTTGAACAAAAACGCTTTTTTATTTTGCTCTATCTTGTGAATCAGAAAGGTTAACAAAAAAGTTTTACTCTTATTAAATGGATTATTATATTTTTTTAGTAACTTATATGCGATTTTTGTGGTGAATATTATAAGACCATATATCCAACTACTAATAAAAAGTATTTATTATAATTTGTACCTGATAAAGTAGATACTAAATGTGATATTACTACTTAAAACTGCATTTAGAAGAGCTCACTCAGTAATATAATACGGATTATAACTTTATATTGAATTAAACGATTACGAGAAATGAACAATAGAATGCTATTTATTAATTGACTCTAACTTTTGATCTAATTATACGAAACAATATAAAACAAAAAACATGTAAATATTATCATTTTAACATGTAAATATTGTCATTTTATTAGTTTCCTTAAAATTTCATCAATGCTTTTATTTATTAATTTTGGTTTTAGCAGATCTATAACGAGTATTTGTTACTGATTATAATTTATAACAATTGCTAATTATATTCTTTTTACTTAAATCAGATATATGATAGGATATCATTCACTTTTCGCAATAATTCAAAATCTTTCTTAGTTCACACATATAGTTATAGTCAGGGTATTTTCTTTTCCGAACCAGTGGTAGTGTTTCAAGTTACCATCAATAAGAAAGTGTAATGCTTCTATATTGAATAAAGTTATTTGAGTTTGAGTTTGATACAATGTAAAAGAAAATACATGACAATTTCTTTATTCACTAAAAATATAAAAAATCTACGAAAAGTAATAAGTTTGTAATATAATTTTAAATAATTATATGGTATTGTTAGAAATTTCCTATATAGATTAACATACCTGGGTTGTTCTGATGGTGGAGTTTCTTCAGGTGGTGGATGCAAACTAAGAATGCATTCTGAGGTAGAAATTGAAAATAATTAATTACACATTTAACACAACATACTTTTATATGTAGACTAGTGAAAGAAGTAAAGCATTGAAATGGCAACATAGCAAACAGATATGAAGGTTTGGAGCAAACATTACAAGGGAGCATGCCAAAATATGGAATAATATAAAAACCTAAAGTTGCTATATAAAATCTACTGATATTCGTTTAGTTTATTTTAAAATCTTCATATAAAATAGTCTGTACATTAACATGAGACCAACCAGTCTTTTGACTTCACCGATTGAAAAATATAATTAGTTATCTGTAAGAGTTAAATCGTATCAAATGATAAATTAAAACTTAATTAATTTTAATTATACTTTATCTTCTTCTTCTACCTGGCAATTTCCCAGCTTATAGCCATCTACCTTACATGTTGTGAATAGTTTTTGCTATTAGTTTTTACGACCGGCCGCCTGCCTGACATCAACCCTCTTTGGGAATCAGCATCAGTGATGTCTAAATGCTCTTAGAAAGTACATATGACTCAGAAAAATCACGTTGGTACTTGCCCGGCCCAGGATCGAACCCGCGCCTCGTGCATGAGAGGGGGGCCCTTTAACCATTAGGCCACCACTGACTTATATTCCTATATTACTATATATATAGAAACAGTATATAATGTAAGGCAGACCCTGGCTATAGCTGGGAAATTGCCAGGTAGAAGAATATATAGTAATATATCGTAGTAGATATCTATTGTATAACACAGTGGGAGAGAAGTCTTATTAATTGGGTATTGTTTTATCCTCAGTTTACAGAACCATAAAATATATTTTAAAAATGACTTTTCAGTAACAGAAAGTAACAACTTTCAATCAATCAAACTAACTCTAGCCTATGGTTAAGTATGTAAAAGATTTAAGACATAATGCTTGTTTACCAAATGCTAAATAAATATTTTTTTATTTAAATTTCAATAGATATGAAAAAAACATTCCATGTTACGATTTATATTACAAAACCCTTAAGACCAGTAAATGTAATATTTGAATGTAAAGATATTTTCAATGTATTTTTTCCTTAATCTAGATCAGGGTTGCACATTGTTCTGAGCTAACATGCAATAAGCTACAACACACAGTAAATTAAATTACATATCAAACAATACAAAAGAACAAATATTACATAAATTTGGGATTAAATTTTTAAATTTAAATATTTTAGTTATTTATTTAAGAAAGTTGTGTTCATTTAGTATGTATAAAAGCATGTACAAATATAAATGTCTAAATCGGAAACTAATATTCTTACCGATGGTATTTATGGTGACAACAATAGGTTCAGACATGATTTTTGTCCAAGGGACTTGTATAAGGAGCTCATGAATCCTGCCTGAAACCAGTGTGAATGGCAGAGCCACCTCCTTTTGTAGAACATCAGCTTTAATAACCAGATTGTGTAGTGTAACTCCGCCCGCCCATAAAGATACCTAAATAACATATTTTTGTCTTTAGTGATGTTTTTTAAGACTTTATTTCAAAATTATACTGTATTCCAACTTGAAATAGTTAATTCAAATTACAATGCAATGAAAGTAGTTTAAGTAATATGAAGCTATAGATTTTCTAATGAGAAGCTTTATAATATAGTAGACTTTTATCAAATAAATAAACTTACTTGGGCATCCGCTGGTTTGAAGTCCCGTACATATTTGTCGACATAGCTCAACAATATTGGTGTAACATATGATTCAATATTAAACATTTTTCTCTTTAACTCATTCAAATTCTCATTTTATTCTACAAGAATTATAAAATAATAGAACATTGATATAATGTAAACAAAAAAAGTATATAATATTTAGTATAATTGTACAAAAAACATTACATTCTCTATTGGAGTATTATAAGAACATAAATAAAAATCATGATATCAAAATAGATTTTTATACATAGGTGTGATATTAATATATCAACATAAAATATTTATTGTTATTTGTATAAAGATGAATTTTAATTATTTTTAACATTACACATTTTGTATGTCTGGAAGTATCAAAAAGACAAAAATGCAAATAAGATAACAAAATATAATAAATAACAACAGTTCTCACAAAGGTTTTTTACCACTATACTGACTTAAGGCGTGATGATGAGCACTGGCACATTTTGTTTTCATTTCACAAGTTATTATCGAGTGAACAAAAACACAAAAAACTATTTAGATTAAATAATCCATAATTTAAACACAAATCGCCGACTTACAATTTATATTTTTGATAAAACGTTGACATTTGACACATTGTCACATACGTATACAAGTATAGTCATATACAATTTTACTCACTTTTCTTGATAAAATTAAGGTATGATTCATTAAGCTGTAAAACAATTTAAAATCAATTAAAAGATTTATGATACCGTAGATTTAATAAAAAACAATAAATGTTTAAGTGTTAAGAAATCATATTAGTATGTACTCAGAAAAAAATACGTAATTTTTATATAAACTTAACTAATATTTCTTTCTTTTGCAGATTCCTGGTTCATAATTTATTTCCTTACAATGAAACTATTTTGGAAGAGAATTTTGAGACGAAAAGAATATTTTTACCTAATTATTTATATAAACAATTTTTATTTATTCGAAATAAAGGTAATAAAAAGTTGGTAGTGAATTATATAATTAAAATGTGTAAAATCTATGAATAAATTAAATTAACATAGAATTGATGTCAACATTTTGTTTCCATAGCTGTATTAGAGTTTAAAATTTTGACGGATAGTGACGCTTGAGAAGTAAGCTGCGAAAACTAAAAAGTGACATAAGTCATAAATTATGCCATTACTGATTGAATGATGCGATAGGAGAGGTCGGTGGGTCAATAAAAATGTATTTGTAGAATTTAGGTGCTCGTCATGGTTTTTGCTCTTTGTGTAAAAAAATACGCTATGGCTTTATTTACATGCATGTAAGTTTATTTTGTTTTCGTTTTTGTTGGTGTTTTTATTACGCATTGCTGAAACGAGGGATGTTGACATATGTTTTTGCTTCCAAATTATTTTTCTTTTGTAAAAGAAGCTTTAAGTTACATAAGTCATGTTTCCTTTATGAAATCTTAACATAAAAACGTTGTTTAAGAGAGTAAAGTCATTAAAATATAAAAATAAGATCACAACGACATGATAAAATTTTTGACGACGTCTTCTTTTATCATTTGTGCTCCTTTTTACATGTAAGCTTTTATGTGAAAATTTGTCTGGCAGTCATTCTTTTTAGAAATATGTTTCTGTTTTTATCTTCATTACCAGATTAATAATTAGTAATATGTGAGTGTATCAAGCTTTAGTGCTGTATAATGAATCTTTCTATAGTTTCCATACTTTTTATTATTATGTGACATAAAAGAAATATCAATCAATTTACTAACATGTATTTTTCTCTTTACAGCTCAAAAATTTAAGAAACGCAGAGCAAATTCCATGTCTAGTAATGTGGCTGTAGTTTTCATATTGTTACTTTGTTACAATGTTTTAAAGTAATGCTGCTGCAGCTATGCTGAAATTGACTCACAGTTTTTGCAGATATACAAGACTCACCTGTGAGGACATAAATCATAGTAATTTTTTTGTGAAAAACTACTCACAGTTTAGTAAAGGAAAGATATGTGTTACATGGGACAAACAAACACAGCTAGCTCCACAAGTTTATTTTGGTGTTTGGTCTCAACGATTAGTGAACATAAAAAAGGGATTCAATCTCAAAAAAACATTTATAAACTCAAATGTAACAAGGAGACGCAAACCAATGAGTGATTCATACGAGCCCTATAAACATGCCAAATATCAAATGTAAGTTAAAAATCATCACACAATTGAATATTAATTAGTATTTTTCTTTATGGAGTATAATTATAATTTCACCTAGTTCTATTTGAGAATAATTAACCGACTACTTAACCTAGCTTTGACTATTGATTAGCACACTTCAATAGTTAGACAATATTGCATTATCTAATCAGTACATGACATTTGTGTTATTTATGCAACAATGTTATTTATATTATTACTTATACCAAACATTTAACTATGTAAATTTAGATAAAATTACTTGTTTTGATTTATAACATCAAAACATATTTCTGTTTTATATTAAAATTAAGTTTAAGTATATTTACTTATATAGTAGTTAATATATCAAAAACATTGTTGAATTAGTCCCGCAGATGAATGTACAAGCCAATCTAGCCAATTTAGAAAACAACCAAGTGAAAAGTCCAAAAGACCTCTTAAAATACCTAATGACTTCCGCCTTTGGGAACCAGTGGGAAAGAAAAATTCTAATAATGGAGGTATCATTTTGTTTATACATTAAACTCCTTATAATTTATATGATATTTATTATAATAGCTATCTTAAAATTCCAGGTAATTTCAGGTTCCGTGTGGTCTCATACAATGTCCTAGCCCAGTATCTATTAGAATTCCATCCATACTTATATACAGACTGCTCGCCAGGAAACCTTAAATGGAAAGTGCGAGCTGCGAAATTATATGATGAAATACTCAGTCTATCGCCAGATGTAATTATTTATTTGTTTCTTAATAAACTTGTATGTTAATTTTATAATAATGTATGATTTCTGCAATAATGAATTTATTGGTATACAGATTATTTGCCTTCAAGAAGTACAAGTGTCCCATTTAAAAAGTTTTTATGCAAAATTTGAGGATATGGGTTATTTTGGTATATTCAAACAGAAAACTGGTCATCGTCAAGATGGATGTGCTATTTACTTCAAACACAGCCTATTTGATTTACAAGATCACATCAGTGTGAGTATGTCGCTTATTTTATAACTGATATTTTTTCTAATATAACAAATGACCTACATATGAGTCTAATATAACAATGTAGAACATAACTGTTTCCTACATTATACAATTTTAACATCTTCAAACTCATGGGGAAATAAGTTTGAGATATTAATTTCTAATTATCATTATTTGGGATGATAATCAGCTACTATTCAATTCATAATACCTAATATAAAAACCTTTCATGTAATAAATATTTTTATATACAGTATTTTACTTTAAACTAAATTTAATTACTAATGGTTTAAAGCAACTTTATTAAGATTCCATTTTATCTCAATGTGTTCCTGTACCTTATTATATATTTACAATTTAAAACTAATTTATATTATGTTTTATTTTATGTAATTTATCATATATTAACCAATCTCTCTAAGTAATGTAAAGTGTTAGGATTTTTTACCTAAAATGATTATAACTTCACTTATGTAGACTACTAAGAGTAGTCTACATAAGTTTTTTAACTAAGAGTTTGATAATATTTTTGATATCTTGTACCATATGGCTTGAGCGAAAATGCATCGTTACAATAAATACAAAACGTTTGTATAAAATAAAGTGCTTTATTTTATGGATAATAAACTATTAACTCTCCATACCTAGTGTACATTAAAAATTTGTGTTAAGTATAGCGATTGTTATTTTGATTAGAATAAAGTTTTAATTGCTTTTTCAATATGAATAAATAGTTGTATTTTGTATACATACATATGCAATTGTGTTCTTATGTCAATATGATTTAGCGAATGTTAATGCCATGTTCTGTTATAAATTGTTACTTGTAATTAGTGGAATGTTACTTATAAAATATGATATTACTTATAAAACGTTCATGCGAGGTTGAGACCCTCAGAATTGAGGAAACCGATGCAAGGAGGAGGAGACGTATAACTAAATATTAAGTTTGCGTGTAGTTGATGTTTTTATTAAAATCGGTATAATAATATGATATTCCTCGAAAATATAATTTAAAGATATTTTATATCAATCACATGATATAATTCCAAAAACTGTATTATATTGATGATTAATGTGTTGGTGTTTTTTTTTTTAATTTTGTTACATTTGAGTTTTTTTATAATTTATACATCAAAAGCGAATTAAGATGCTCAATGTAAGATTCAAGTGTTTGCTTATAAATAAAATTAATATGCCGCAAAATGGTAGTTCTAAAAAAATAAATTTTTGTCCGTCCATTTGTTTCATTGAATCTCTTACAGATTTTAATATATATTTTGTTTATAATTTTTGTGGCAAACTTGCCTAATTTGTTTTAAATCAACAATGATTTATAAAAAAAATATATAATCTTTTAACAAAAAATGGATGTTGCTTAGCGCATAACTTGAAAATGCCTCGACGAATTGGGCAGTTTATTTTTGTGTACATTCCTTAAGGCTTACGAAAAGTTTTTACGGTAAAATAAACCATATTAATGTAAAAAAAAATTGCTGTCAAATAGGTGACGTTTGTCAACGTCAATTTATACAAAAAAAATGTGTGTTTATGAAATCTATATTCAAGTTGATTCGTCTGTTTGAATATAATTTTTGAAAATATACGACAACTGAGATTGCGAATAATTAAACAATAAAAGACAAGTAAACAATAATTCTTACGTATATAAATATGCTTGCGTCTAAGTTGTTTAGAAATGTATAAGATTACTAGCGATCCTCGCGTTTTTCCGTGACCGAAAACATCGTAAACATACGTATATGTGTGTATATTTTCTATAAAGTATAATATTGTGCCATTTTCAAGTTAGTAGGTTTTTTGTTTAAGTTTCTCTTGTAAAATTTTATTCTTCAAACTGCTGCATACTGCTCGGGTTGCATGTCTTAATATCTTTAGGAATAAATTGCTTTGTATTGAATACATTTATACCATTGTTTTATTGAAAAATCATAATTTAACATAATTGATTTGGTGAAGCGATCTATCGACTGCTATGTCGATAAATATTCATTTCAATATTTCCTTAATTCTTCTGAAAAAAATGTTTAGGTATTTTCAAGGTTAGGTATTTGAAATATTCATTCTTTACAATATACATTTTTGTCATTATTTATCGGACATTAAGTTCTCTAATGTCTATTCTGTAAAATTCTCTCCCTCAATATGTGTTTTTTTGTAATAATTGAAATATTTTGCATAGCACTGCGACTTGTTCTGCTTGAAGTCTTGTAATCATCTAAATTTAAAAACTACTGAAGGAAACTACTGCCATATAGAGTTTCTTTTCTCAAAGATATGACTTAATTTCTTTAAAATGCTCTTAAGCGACTTTTCTCTTGTATTGTATTACAGATCTTTATGTATGATTCTGAACATATCATAGTTGCTATAAGAATTTCTATTTCGTGTTTGTCATGAAATTTTGAAGTATTGTGCTTGCCATTTTAGATTTCTATAATTTTACGGTGAACACTTTTAGAATGACCAGACATTATAATGTTTGAATATTATTTCGTTGTTTCGTAAAAATACAGTAAACACGATGTATTAAAAATATGTCAAAGAAAATTAATCTTAATTATCCAACTGACATTAATGTTTCTGTTTGTGTATGGATGCATGTTTCTCTTTTACTCAAAAACTACTGAAGGGACTTTGATGAAACTTTTCAGTGATGTAATTGTAATTTTCTCAGTAATAAGACATTGCAGTTGTATCTTGTATTCTCTTTTGTGTTACAGATTGTGCTATATTAATATTATTTAAAATTACTTAATTAATTTCTCGCTGAACCTAATTCCAAAATCCAGGCGGATAAAGTAGAGGGCATTAACTACTCTGAATATAAATAAATACATGGCATGTATGTGATGATGGCGACATTGTTATTTTATTTATTGTGTAAACGTGCAATTCTGCAAATTCCTTACTTATTTTTGTTTTTTGTATAAAACTGTTTCAGTGAAATTTATTTGCAATGCAATTTTTGTACGATTTACTTGCAATTTATTGTAGTGTCCTTTAAAACGGTTTGCTTAGCGACTTTCCCGTCATCTAAAATTATTTTATAAATTAAGTATTCTTTAAAATATGCACTTGTTTTACCCATGTGTCTATAGTGTACATTTTTGTTGTTGTTGTTTTTTTTAATTTTAATTATTTATGTTTAATAATATTATCTTATAATGTAAGAGGTACAGGAATGCATTTAGATTTAGATAAAACTAGGAGTTATTTTCTCTTGATTTGTATTTTGTCGAACTTGGTATCGCCCTATAATCAATAAATATCTGTTACGTTTTTTATTTATATTTTTCGAGTTTACCTATGAAAGCCATAAATCTCCGTGTTTTGAAGTGCGACAGAAAGATTGACATATTAATTACTTGTCAAATCTAATGTCAAAAAGAAAAGTTTGTTTCTGCAACTACTAATAAATTAAAAATTAATTAAAAAAACATTGTCCAGCCGACAAAATTGTGAATCTAAACAATTCCCAGATCCCCTTGAATACACACAATTTTTTTTATCAAAATCGGTCCAGTCGTTTGAGAGAAGTTCAGTGACCTACACACTCACAGAAGAATTATATATGTAAAAATTAGGGAGACATTTAACATAAAATCGATATCATAACAATAATTTACAGAGAGATCTTTGCATATGTTATGAATAAAATTATTATGTATAAAATTATAAAATTAGTATAGAAAATTTAAATTCAGTTGGTTGAAGTATTTTATATGAAATATTCAAATAACATACTTCCGTAACTTACAAGTTACAGAAAACCTTGAAATAATATACCTCCACCATAAAATTAAGAAGTTTCTAGCAATATTTTTTTAAGTAATAAAATAAGCGTAAGCGTATAATAAAACTGAATATTCGCCTTTATGTTACTATTAACAAATTATTTGATATAGACGAGTATTTACCCTGTCATCGATTTGCAGTATCAATATTTGTATTAACTAAAAACAAAACTCCCTGAAAGCGTGCTAAAATCCTGTGAATATGGATATGTAAATATTATGAATAAAAATTAAATCTCAATATTTTAATAACGACTTACGTATATATGATAAAAGTAAAACCTCTGCCATCAAAAGTTTAAAATACACATAAAATTATGAAAAATAGTTCGAATTAGATGCTCCATGAAACAAGAGAAATCTGTAGCACAGATAATGCACTAAGAAAAGTAAATTCGTTCGTTTCCATGTGCAATAAAAGTACATTCATTTCAAGTTTAAATTTTTGTCAATTTTCTTATCACCAATATTGTGATTTACTTGCGATTATGCACTAAAAAAGCCCCTACTATCTTTTCAGGTGGAGTACTATCAGCCTGAGATGCCAATACTGAATCGTGATAACATCGGCCTGATGGTGAAACTCGCTCCAAAAGCCTCATCGAATACTCCGATAGTAGTGGCCACGACACACCTCTTGTATAACCCGAAACGAACGGACGTTAGATTGGCACAGATGCAGGTCCTATTGGCGGAGATAGATAGATTCGCTTATACAAAGAATGGTTTAGGGTAAGCATTTGGTAATAGGGTAACTACTAGGGTAAATAATAGGATAATCATTGAAACTAATTTTCCCACAATAAAATAAAAACGTGTTAACTAAGGTGATTTAGTATAATCCTTTATATATTATAATTACAAGTAGTAATAAATTAAACTCTAAATAATCACTAATTGTGAATAATACCTTAAAAGTCGTAAATATAGAAAATATTTCAGCTTAAACTTTCTTCTGATAATCTGCTTCCAATTTAGATACGCGGAATTATCCAATAGTAGTTACGCGGATTTGCACTATCTCAGGGATAAAAATATATTGAAAGTTAAAAGGTATATTAATTTTTTTTTCAGGGAGGGCTATTTACCTATAATAATTACAGGAGACTTTAATTCGACGCCAGATAGCGCTGTAGTGCAGTTACTGGACAGAGGACATGTTAGGTATATGTTAAAGCAAATTGAATTACTAAGAAAATTGAAAATAAGTGAGTATGTTTGTACATGACGATCGATGTATTAAATATTAATAATGTAAGTAGCAGATTCTAATCGTTTACTAGCTACTATTTATAGCAATAATTATTTATATGGGGAGATATGACTTTATTGTCGATTTTACATATAACAATGGTCATTAAAGTTTTGAAGAGCTTGAGTCATATTTTAATAAAAATTCTAAGAAATTAAAAACTGATGGTAATAAAACATTTTTCATAGTTTGATGAACGTAAGTTTAATATGTAGGTCATTATGATGAAATTATTCCTGATTATGCTAATGAATGATTTGATTCGCTTTTATTAGTTATAATGTAAAGATTATACTACAAAAATTTATACATATATCAAAAATTGTAGAAATCTAGTCATTATAGACACTAATTTATACATTCAAGTTTATCAATATTTTTTTTGGTAACAAGAAAATTAATTGTACTATATTCGTTACGTACATTATACGTGGAATTGATCAAATTAATAAGTAGGTGGCTAGGTCAGAGTCGTCGTCATCTTGTGTATTCATAAACGCCGTTGTTGAAAATTCCTTATGTATTACACGTTGAAATAGGTTTAGCTTCATTACATTTCCAACATTAAATATAATGAAATAGTACTAATTTATTAGCATATTTTTTTTATTATCATATTGTAGTGTTTAGTAAAATGAAACACTTATATTTCGTATTTTAAAATATTGGTATATTCGGTAATGTTTAAGAAATTAAATGATAAAAATTGCGTTCTTACAATATATACTCACAGTAATAACTTCAATATTAATAATAATCACAGTGAATTTAAGAATGACATTTTTTCAAATTCAATAAGTGTTATTATTTTGATTCAGTTACTGTAATATTCGATAGTGTTATATATTTTTATGAACTAAAATTATATGCCATTACTTTTTTCGGTATCGTATTGCTTGTCTATCTATAACAGCTATAAATTTGGTCACGTGTTATACAAAGGCTCTTATCTCTGCGTATAAATTAATTAGGTACTTGAAATTACTGTTTACTTGAGAACAAAAAATACGTGTAATTCCGTATAATTAACGTTTTTTATAATCTTAGTTATGACTAAAAAGATTTTTTGGCCAAAGTTTGTCAAAAATAGTGTAAGATTTCTTGAAAGAACTTGACAAAACAATGTGAAACTTTTAAAGCCTGTTTGGTCTTTTCTATGAGGTATTAGATTTATTAATTTAGAAAAACAGGAAAATGTATATAAATTTTGAAGGGTTGACAATTTTCGTGATATTGATTTTGTTTATAGTTTTTTTTTTCGTAAATAAAGAGTGATTATTTTTAATATGGTACTAATAATTTTCTAGTGTACAATCGTTGAGGGACAATTCAGACTGGGAGAGAATTGGCGTCACTGATAACTGTCAGCATTTGGCAGTTTATCTGAATAGGCAGAAAGGAGTTACCACAGATTTCAGTATGGTTAAGGTAATAAAATATTATACAATAAGTCTTCCTTATAAGAGATAAACCAATCTGCCAATAAAGTAGGAACAACCCACAGTAGATAATTTGATAATATTGTCATTCCACACGTGATATTCTTATATAAAAATACGAAGATGAAGAAGTTGCAAAACTTGGAATATTGAAATTAATTAATGTAATAGTTGCTAGAAAGTAATGTGCACTGAAAGTTGAGTTATTCGGTTCTGATAAATATTCTTTTAAAACTAGATCAGTCTCACTAGACAATAAAGTATTCTTGTACACAAGATAAATTAAAATTAGAAATAAGAGAAAGTGTTTTTCTTATTGGTGACATATTGCGAGATAATACGGTAGGTATTGAATGTAATATTAAGTAAAACTACTTAAATGATAGAACCAAATCCTTTGTGGGATTGGTTTTTTGATGCTATGGTCTTTTTGCTTGAAACTAATTAAATTTTAAATACCATTCGTAGACGAAGTTATAAATAAAAACATTGTTCTTGGTACTTGAAGCCCATTAAGTATTAGAAAAAATCAAGTAAGGACTGAAAACTTTCAGCTCTGTTAACTTTAATGGAATATTAAGTCAACGTTTGATAATTCAATCCTACTATTTTTATTATTGTATTTTCTACTATTTTGATCAAATGGAGTGTTAATCGGTATTGTATTTTATAAATGTTTTTTAATATTGTTTATATTGAACCTGAATTCTGATTCAATTCAGTTAGAAGTTAAATAAATAAACGCTCTAAAAAATTTCTTACATTCAAGTATAACGTATTCAGACATCAAAGCATGTGACAAAATTTGTCACTGGATAATTTATTCCAGGCCCATGTTGATATATAAATTTAAATTTATGACATTATCTGCTTGCTCTGAATCGAACAACGTCTTAAATTTAAGTAATCGCAAGAACCGAAATAAATAAACAACAGGATTTGCTAACATTGGCTAAATGGAGTATTGCAAATTGTATTTTAGAATTATGCCATTACGAATTCAGTTCTTATCAGTAACATTGACATTGATTATTATCAATCTAGCTGCTTATCTTCACGAAATTAGCTGGGCATTGTATCTCCAATTTTTTTTTGTTCAAATGCATAAACATTTCCAAGTAATACCAAATTCCTAATAATTCAGGTGTATTTGGAAACGGAATATACTTCGTTTTGCTATTAGAATTTGAAAGATTCCCAGAAGTAGTATCCAGTACTATTTTTAGCATAAGTCACAACTATTTATATATAATTTATATTATAATGTTTCAACCTAATTTGCTTAGTTAACTTGTATCTCAACATCCCAGATACAAAATTCGGACTACACGAATACTACTCAAAACACGAAGCACGAGTCCAAATATAGAGAGATGTTCAACAGTGGAGACGTCTGCCATCAGCTTCGACTGTCTTCAGTATACGATACTATCAAGGGCGGTCTTAACTACGAGGCTACCACCTACCAAGATTTGTGGGTTACCGTTGATTATATTTACTTTAGGTAAGCATTTAAACTGTTCATTTAAGTGAAACGAATATTTTTCGGATTATATTACGCGACTTTATTCTTGATAAAAAACTACATATTCCCGACGTTTAAACTACTTTACAACAACCGTGATCACGGGCAGATCAGATGTTTTAGAAATAATAAAATAACGCGTAGTAATTTGAAAATATTAGTATGATACTTACATTGTTTCTAAGAAAGTATAACTGAAGTAATTAGACGTACATATTTATGAATATAATGCGTGTGAGGCTATCGTCTTATAAAAACTATTGTATGTTAGGGAATGTAAGGAGAATTTTAGTTATTTACAATAGGCGATGATGATTATAAGTTTTTTAATCTTCCTTTTATCCAAATTCTATGTTTATATATATATATATATACACATATTAAAACAGTTTGTAACAAAATTTATGAAGAATTAATTAATAAATTTTATTGTTATACATAGTATGACATGTTAATGAAAAATATGTACAAGAAAGTTACAAAATTTACAAAAAAGTTTATGTTTTTCATTATATTCTGTCTTTTAATTTCAAAAACAATTCATATGATTGAGTTACAGCCAATGAAACAAATTAATCTGGATCGTGGAATTTTGTTTTCAGTTACTGCAGTTCTTTACGACTAGTGGAACGTCTTCGTCTTCCGACTGAGGCTGAATGTGAAGTACTCGGACGTTTACCAAACGATAAGTACGGCTCCGACCACCTCGTGTTAGCTGCTACCTTCGAACTAAAGACGTCCAAGTCATCACTATGACTTGTGAAAAGTACTATGGACAATCAGCGAATCGCTATTGAAATTTAACACAAAATTTAAATCGTCAAAACGGACTAAATATTTAAATTTCATTAAATCTAATAATGACGGCGATTTATTATAGAAACTCGTACTTAAATTTGAACTGATATCACTATGTCACAATTAGTTTTTCCATTCAGTATTTCCGTTCGTTTAATAATTTATATATAGATATAACGAACTCCAAATAGATGCGACTCCCTTTATGCTCCCTTTATATCTCATATAGAGAGAGTTTAGAAAAAAAGTATCAAGCTTAAAAATATAAAATTTTTGAAAAAAATGTCAATTACCACCCCAACAGGAACCTTCCGATATCGGTACAAATATTATAATATTTATACGTTTTTTAACTGACATATATTTGGATATAGAATCTTTGTTTTATTATATTTGGACTAATTGGTTTTTTGAAATTTAAATGTGGAACATATAATATTTTCCATTCATTTATATTTTTGGGTCAACGAAGTTGATTTAATGTTCCTTAAAATTAGTTTTTCATTTAAATTATTATCTTTTGTGATGGTTACGTAACTTCCATAAATTTCATTTAAGTCTGGTTGTGTATAATTTTTTTTTCATTCGTGAAATGCGTTCTGACTAATCTAAATTTGATTTTAGATATTTTGTTTTGTAAATATGTATAATATATTTAACGGGAATGCGGTCAGCATTGCAAATCATTTGACAGTTGTTACTTCAGTAATTTTTTCTTATTAAACTAGAAAAGAAATGTTGTTTTATTTTTCCTGCAAGTTAGGTCCTCATAACTCTGTTTAAACATATGGACTGTGCCAACAAACGTTGAGAAATTTCCTTTGGGAGTTGCTACAAATATTTTTTATTTTGTTTTATGTCTTTGACGAATTTTAATATTATAGTACAATACTTGAAATTTATAAACTTTTTATGACCTAAATAAGTGTAAACCAGTGATCTTCTCACTTTATTGGTAAGTGCTGAATATCACCCTCGGGTTATATGGGTTGTTGAATTTTTGGCTCTTTTACGATCAAGTCTACAATTCTGACATCTGCCGTAAAAACTTTAACGATATATTTTTTCTTCTTCATATTGCTCTACTGGGCTTCTGGCGCGACTAAAGTCGTTGGTTTGAGTGAAAAATACCTTGACTTTTGTGTATAAACCCGTGATGGAAATCCAAACAAGGAAGCACTAGGCTTAATAGCTGTAAATAGTTAAGAAGTGCCTTACGTAAGATCAAATAAACAAACGTTCTTTAGAAACATTTATACATTGAGTTTGTCAGTAATATCCATATTCTGTTATACTGTATCCGAAGCATATTTCAGATAAGGGATAGTATGAGTGGATCGGATTCGACCTGAATATGTTTTTAAAAAAAGGTTGAGTATCTATAAGCAAACTTAGGAACATACTTTGTCCAATTTTCTAGCCAAAAGTCATTGTCATTATTTAAAATTGTTGAAAAAGTCCTCAGCAAAGACTCGTAAACTTCTACACAAATACCTTCTAATAGAAAACAACCGTAGAGCTTCCGAACTAGAGTCTTAATATAAATGAATCGATTTAACCACAATACATTGCCAAAAAACTAGATAGTAACACTAAATGTCTAGGTATATTCCTAGACTTGTCTTGGGCTTTCTACGTGGTGCCCACATTAATTTGTAAACTAGATCCATGAGCATATGTGGAATAGCCCTCGACATACTTTAATAATACCTAAATATAAAGAGCAGGTTACAATAGATACACAGCTGTGTTGCTCAGGCAAAGACAAAACAATAATATAGAGTGGCCCACAAAGCATTATAATGAAGCCTCAACTAGTTTACTTCAAGAAAGACGATCTCTGCTTGTTTGAGTTTCCAAAACAAAAAATCAATACATCACAAGATTCGTTAACGTTAGTTAAAGACCAAGGAAAATCTCTTGTAAATATTTGGACGCAACGTACAACGAAAAAGGGACAGCTCATAACTTGTAGCAATATCAGGTGGAGATTGACCTTTTGATCTTAATTAGAAATTATTATTTTTGAACATCATGTATTAGTTCCACAGTAACACTCCGGCAAAGTGGCGATATCAAAATTACTAAAATGCCGCTATATCTACGCATTCATATTTCCTTTAATCTATTGTACCTTGCTATATATAATAATATATAACTTGCTTTGAGACTTAGCTCCTAATGAAGTCAAATTTTAAATCTTTTTTTTGAGGTGCACCTAAAAAAATGATAATTTTTTTTCACCCTAGATTGTAATAAATTATGAGGCATACCTATTAGCTTACTGACGTATATGTAGGTATTTGAAGAGATTCGACTTGTGTTAAACTTTGTTGTACTTTCTTTAATTACCTGGACCTTGATCCTCAGCCACTCAAAAGCATGTCATAAAAGTATTACACGACAGATCAAAAGATAAGAACCCAAACTACTAGATATATTTATACTTTTTGAAATAAGTAACGGGCGTTTGATAGCATGAAAACTTTTCAAACTGTACACCAACCATAATGAAGACAATCGATACTATCAAGTTTAAATTCCTATTGAATTATATTTAGACTAAAATGACTAGTGAGATCTAAACATGCTTATCTACCTTGCGCCAAGTATGCGATTTCTTAAATAAAATTTCAACCATAGCGAATCAAGCTTTATCACAATATTTTATGTCGGGATTAATCTCCGATGTAGAAAACTAGGGATGATTCCGGGACTGAAATGGTCCAGATTAACTATATCATAGCTTGCCGATGTATTTTCAAAATAGACTTGCCGGTTAGTCTAATCCGGATACCACTGATTAGGATTTAAGCGACGGTTGGACGACTTACGCACGGTTCACATAGAAAACAAAATATTTTTCAATTTTTTGTCTCTGTTAAGATTAATGTTGACTTTTAGTATTATATAAAGCTACTTTTAATATATATTTTTTTAATTTATATGATACCAACATTTTAAAGCTACTCTATGGACACTATTTCTATTTTGCAGCACCATACTCAATTATTATCCGGCAAGACATTTTAAAAAACATACAATCTTTAGTTGTCTGAATAAGAACCTCCGAAACGTGGATTTCATGTTGATCAACATATCTTTTAGGAAATAATATTAGACTGATATCTTCAATAGGTCAAAAGACGAGGCATTCAATGTTGTAGGCTTTGATTTGATCGTTTCCCACACGGCTGAATGTTGAACTTTCTAATGGAAAAATTACTGTTATTTTTGCCAATTAAGATATCCTGTTATAAACTAATATCCATCATCCTATTAATTAACTCACGTTAAAAAAATACACAAAATATGCATGCATGCTTAAAATCGGTATGCATTGTTTACATTTAGTAATTTTAAATTAGAAACAAAAGCCTATTATTTTTGCCGAGAATAGAAATCAAACATCATTTGTAATTTATTGAATCATTTATACATTTCTTTTACAAATCATAAGGACACGAAGTAACACAATTCTCATAGCATAGTACTGTTAACAGAAATATAAGAAAAGCGTTAATCACGCAATGATATTATTTGAATAATATAGTTACAAATTAGAGACCATCACATAAATATTGAGGAGCTGGATGCTAAGTAAAATGATTTTTTGAATTCTAACACGTGGTAGATGTTATTTTGTGTCTATTGTTGTTTTATCATATCAATATTTGAAGACAATGTTCTAAATATTGGTTTTATTTAGTTGTATGCTGGAGCTCTAGTTTATAACTATAACTGATTATGAACTGTTTACATATTAAAACATAAATTTAGCAACGAAAAGTCAGATATGAAATAGGTTTTACCTGTCTTGTTTTGTAAAATAAACAAACCCTGTATTTAATTAATAATAAAACCTTTTTTCTATTCAACAAAAAAAAAGTAATTAAAAAATATAAATCTTAGATCTTTTTCAAAACATATAGTGTCAACTCATAAGCACAGATAACATAATTGAGATCCTAAAGAGTATTAAAATTCTATTTCAGACACTGACAATCGCGTTGCTAAGTTTTCGCTTTAATAAAGTTTGCATTTCTTTAAACAACAGCTCATTAAAATAGTTAAGGTGTATATTGTATAATATACATTGCGTGACTTTTATACATTTAAACATAGTGATATCTATAGTTGGAACTGTAATGTAAACTACTAACGCGTTACATCAAATATACATATGATTAAACTGTACATACATTGTTACTTGTTACCTTTTCGAACCTTTTTCTCTTATATAATGCCTAAATATTTCGGTCCTTAACTGTCTAATTTAAGGTAGCGTTATATAATTTTAGTGTGATCTTGCTTGTTAACTGAATAATGATTATCTGGTACATTCCCGAGGAGTTCATGTCTATAAGATGTTAACGCATAGTTACTGGCCTTAACGATTCTTTCTACTAGTTTTGTAATATATTTAAACTTCCGAAAAAAATATTTAGTTTAATCCTTATTGGCACACGATTTTATCATGTTACAAATCAACCTCACCGTACCACATAAACATCAATTCATTGGAACGAGCAAAATTGCAACAAAAAGATAACTTGCGACAAAGCAGACCGCAGACGACCGTACCGGGTTGAATAAGTACGTCTGCAGAGTGTAACTATATTAATGATGGTCATCTAAAAGACAGAGACATTCAAGTGTTATTTCTAGTACATCAAATGCATTGAAAATCTTACTTTTACCTAATATTAACATTATACTGCGCGGGGTTTCATTACTATAAAGCTTAATTAATAAGCCATCAACAGGTTAAAATGTGTACAGGTGGTTCTTTCAACCTCGTGGCGGAAGTCTATAAAGTCGATCGTCTGTAGCCGGCTCTTTAATGAAATTTAAAAAAATGTAAAGTACTCTAGCACGAGATATTTCAATTAACTTAGTCGTGATAAATTTAATTGCGCTTGGTGGTAATCGCCATTATTCTTTATGAACAAGATCAA